CTATGCAAGCAAACAAAACCATAAAAGATGTAAATATTATTTATTTTTTTTGGTAAAAATGAGATGTCAATATTTCACATGTGCTTTTTTAATTCCTTCGTCACAAAATTAGCTATATGGGGGAGAATATAATTTGAGTGAAATGCAATCTAAACAAAATAAATATTTCAATTTGATTACAAGCAATGAAGCAAAAGTGATGTGTCTTATTATTTATTTGACAGAAAATTCCCACAACCATATATGTCAACCGTCGAGTCCGTTTATAGTAAATGCGTTAGTCACGGCATCAATCTCTAACCCTTTCACCTTCCTGTTTATTTGGCCACGTGAAAAACAGAACTTGAATTGACTTGCAGTTGAAAGTAAAAAGAAACAAAAGTTGAATTGCATTGGTGGATTTGTATAAATATAGCAGAGATTCCAATCCATCTCCACTCAGCACACCTGACTCTTCTTCTTCTTCTTAACTCTTCCAAAATAGCATTTTTACCTTTCTCAAGACAACAAACAAAACAAACAATTCTTTTCAAAAAAATAGTTTCTCATAAAACCTCTGTTTTCTTGTTTCCTCAAGAGAGATGCAATATTTTTATTTGTTTTATTCCTTATGCTTCTGGGAATTTTTAATGGAACTTTAACTTGATGCCAAGGCTTCTTCTCTTATTGGACGAAAATGCAGAGGAAGAAAGCAAATAATAAAAAAATAACTGGAGCTATGGCTGTTGAAGGTAAACCTAAAGCTTGTTTTTTTTTGTTATTAAGAAACTGAAAACCAAAAAAAAAAACTGATTTTCTTTCATATCTTCTTTTCTGGGTTTCAATAAAAAACTTTTCCATTTTTTGGAATTTATGGATTGTGGTTGTCTAAGGAATTTAAAAAAAAAATCAGGCTATTTTGCATCACTTATCATCATGATATGATACTCACCTTTTGTAAAAACAGAGATAGAGAAGGATAAAGAAAGCAAAGAAGATCAAGAAGAGATAGAGCTTCACACGAACGACTTAGGCCTAGAACATTCATCATCATCATCATCATCATCAGGTGTACTTGGAATCACAGTTATGATTGATTCAGATACAGACAACAGCAGCACTTATTACAGTACATGCAGCTCTTGCTCCCCTGACGACAACGATAAATCAGTATCCTCTCCATTTTCAAATACTCCTAATAAAAACGTTATGTCTCCCTACCATGGTGGTCTTCAATGGAACAAAATGATTGAATCCATCAAGAAGAAGTCTATTAGAAGATTCACTGTCATTCCTCTCCTCGCAAGTTACGAATTAACACGTAAAAACTTGCGTCGCAAGCAACCTAAGTTCCCTTTCCCTCCCTCTGAGAATGGATTCCCCTGTGAACGTTTCTTTATGCCTAAACCCTCTTGGAGAAACTTCACCTACGAAGAGCTCGCTGCAGCCACCGATGATTTCAATCCTGGTAAAGACAAATCAAAACCCTAAAATTCAACATATTTGGATTTGAGTTTCTGATGTTTATGTTTGTTTTTGTTTGTTTTAGAGAATATGATTGGGAAAGGAGGACATGCAGAGGTATACAAAGGAGTCTTGCCTGATGGAGAGACCGTGGCGATCAAGAAACTTATGAGTCACGCAAAGGAAGAAGAAGAAAGAGTGAGTGATTTCCTCTCAGAGCTAGGTATAATCGCACATGTAAACCATCCAAACGCAGCTCGGCTACGCGGTTTCAGCAGTGATCGTGGTTTGCATTTTGTCCTTGAGTACGCTCCTCATGGCAGCCTCGCTACTATGCTCTTTGGTATTTTTAATCTCTCCTCTTTAATATCTTGTTTCAGCTTCAGAGACAGTGTTTCTGATCTTTGTTTCATTTGTAGGATCAGAGGAGTGTCTGGAGTGGAAGATAAGGTATAAAGTGGCTCTAGGTATAGCTGATGGTCTAAGTTACCTTCACAATGTTTGCCCTAGAAGGATCATTCACCGTGACATCAAAGCTTCTAACATATTGCTCAGCCGAGATTACAATGCTCAGGTAAATAGTTATGACATTATGTTAAATTTTGCGCTTTCAACTTAAAACCGATTGGTAATAAGTATATTGACCCAAATTCGTTATATATTATTAAGTCCTAGTAAAACTCTTAATGTAAGTGTGAGAGTTTAATATTCTTACACATAAAATCTATGAACATGCTCTTGGGAGATTAAATTGGATTTACCATGAATATACATAATCTTGTTTCAGATTTCGGATTTTGGACTTGCAAAATGGCTACCAGAGAACTGGCCTCATCATGTTGTGTTCCCCATTGAAGGAACATTCGGGTAAAAAATACATAAAAACCTAATATAGTTTGTTTTGATGAACAAACAAGTTTTGATGATCTCTGGTTTCAGATATATGGCTCCAGAATATTTCATACACGGCATTGTTGATGAGAAGATCGATGTGTTTGCCTTTGGTGTATTGCTTTTAGAGATCATAACCAGTCGTAGAGCTGTTGATACAGCTAGCAGACAAAGCATTGTCGCATGGGTAATGATAATAATAATGTTAATGAAACTCTCTAGTTAGAATTGTTGTTTTACCTTTCTTGTGATAAATACACAGGCAAAACCTTTTCTTGAGAAGAACAGTGTTGAGGATATTGTGGATCCTCGACTAGGAAATGAGTTTGATCCAACAGAGATGAAACGAGTGATGCTAACAGCTTCAATGTGTATACATCATATAGCCACAATGCGACCTGACATGACCCGGGTAATGTATTGCTTACTAAAACCAAACCAAACCAAACCAGAGTTTTGTGTGAACCGGTTTTAATGTGAGTTTTTGTGCAGGTTGTGCAGCTGTTGCGTGGAGAAGACGGTACAGCTGAGATACAGCAGAAGCTAGGTCAAGGAGGGGCGGTGATTGTGAATGCATGCGATTTACAGGATCACACATCCTCCTCATACCTCAATGAACTCATCCGCCACAGACAACTCCTGATGGAATGAGTAGAAACAATCAAACCGAACTTAATCTCTGATATAACTAATGTGTTTATGCTCCCACTTTAGTCCCCTCCTTGTCTGAGTTTTTTGCTTTTTATTATTCTCCATTGGTTGCTTCTTTTATCTTCTCAACCAAACTGTGAATATCACCAACGTGTGTCTGTCTCTATGTTGTTCCTACTAAACTTTGTTTAGTCTCAACCCCAAAGGAGTTGTCAAATTTGTTACATAGTCCATTGTTAAATCTCTTGTTCGTCCACAGAAAGAGAGCGAGCCAATGCGCAGTATACAGAGAGCAAAAGTTTTCGATTCTTCCACTTTTCACGTCCATCTACTCATGCCTAAAACAAGAACAGCTAATGAAAAAAACAAGAATTAACACATAGAAGCAAGTGAGATTTTCATAATATTCTAGTCAGCTTTATGAGTTAGCTAGAATCAAGAAGTTGAACATTAGCGCAGTGAGAAAGAAGCTGTATCCCTTAAAGACGATTAAAAACTAAAACAATTTAAAAAACGGACTCCATCAAATCACATCACATGATTGATTCTTCTAGTAAGACTGGTTAGGCCAGAGGAAGAAGTCAGCCTGATTTGGCGCCATAACTCCCATTGACCCTTGAACGTTGGAGTTATTATTATTAGACCCGGTCGAGTCAGAAGCTTGAACATTCGCAGGATAATGCTGGAAGAAGTTCTGCTGCTGTTGCTGTTGCTGTTGATGATGGTAAAGAGCAGCTGCGTCAAAAGGGATTCCACATGGGATCATCTGAGACTGAACAGCTGAGTTAGGACAAAGAGCGAAGTTAATGCTACTGTTATTGGTTGAAGACTGAAGCTGAAGCTGTTGTTGCTGAAAATGGTGAAGTTGTTGTTGATGATGACTTATGTTTGGTTTCTGCTCTGCTGCTGAAGCAGCTTCTAAAGAGAGTTTAAGACGTTTTGCTGCACCACCAATGGGAAGTGCACTCTTCATGATGGCTTCAACATCGTAACGGTTCATCTCAAAGTTTGTTACAGCGTTTATCCCTCTGAATTTGATCGCTGCTATGTCGTATGCCTCAGCCGCTTCCTCTTCCGTTGCTACAACAACCACCAAACAAACATAAGAACTTTTAACTAAATAACTAACCACAGCTTTCAGACCAAAGTCTTTATTGATTTGACTTACCAAAGGTTCCAAGGTAAAGATCTTTGTTGCCTGCAACACGGCCAATCCTTGCTTGCCAACGCCCTTGTTGATGATGCCTTGTCACACCTCTGTATATCGAAGCTCCTCTAGAGAAGCCACTACTCTTCCTGTAACATATCCGGTTTAACCTCACGGTTACTCTCAACAAAACCAAATGTAATTCAAACAGATAGGTCTTGTTTTAGGATCTTACCTCCTAAGGGAAGCAATGAACTCTAGTTTGGTCATGTGCTTCATTTCCTCTAATTCTTTTGAGTAATTTGCAATCTAAAGATTAATTAGAATGCATTAGTAAAACAGAGAAACACTAACTGAACAAAACAGAAGAGAAGAGAGAAAAGTTGTTTTACAGGGAAGTTGGTGGTGGCAGTAGCATTCCAATATTTAAGAGCTGCTAAATCATAAGCTCGAGCTGCTTTATCTTCTTTGTCATATCCACCTGAATCATTCACAGAAAAATTCTATTAAATGCATGTAAGTTATTGTTTACTGTTATTGTAAGAACTGGCTGACTTAGATATTGCTCTTACCCAAGTATACTGTTGATTTAAGCATAAGACATTATCCATCAATGGCGTTAACATGTCCAGCGGTCCATGCAAAAAAAGGTAAAAAGGATCAGATTGCTTAAATGACATGTAACAAAGATCTTCTGACACATTCAAACACTTATTCTCTAATGCAAGAAGATAGTGCTTAAGGCAAATTAGTTAGCAACCAAACATGTTTAAGATTTTTAATGGTTATTGACACCAGTCTATTACTTAGAAAGTAATAGTGAGAGAATTTGAAATCTAAAAACAGAAGTTTTTGGATGTGGTCAAAGCATAGATCCCCACTATTGTGATGGTGGTGGTACTGGTAGCCTAAAGCAAAACAAAATATTAAAAAAATAAAGCAAAAAGCCACTGAGAATATTCAGGCTTTGCTTTGCTGATGTGAACATTACACATAAATCAATCTGACACCTTATGGACAGCAGAAACACTACACACTGAAATTTTCATTTTTAAATTTGAAATTCTTGATCTTTATTTACACTGTAAGAAAATATCATGTTGGGGATTCAAAATCAAATTTCTATTTAACCCAAGTACTCCTCACTTTAAACCCTATGAAGCTAGAAACTGAAGAAATAGTCCAATGGTTTCACATCACAAAGCCTACATAACATCAAATCATTATATGCTTTAACACAACAATGCATATGTAGGTGAAGAGAAACAAGGGAATGGAGGGTCAAAGTGGGACCATAAACATGTCAATCAAAGAAACAGAGGTTGCATCATATAGGCAATGACATGGGGACCCATCTTATGTACCTTTAGGCTTTAATATGTGTAAGTGTGAAAATGAGAGAATTTTGAAAGGAGAGGAAATGCAATAAAAGACAAAGGAACAAAATGGCGGCACCCTTCTGCTAATTATATGAAAAATCAACAACAAACAACAACTATATTATATAGATGACTCTTTTTTTTTTTGGCCTAAGTACTGCTGACTCAAAAGTATTGTCAATCTAAAAACTTTGGCTCCCTTTCACAAACTGAAAACACCCAAAGTTATAACACTAATCATCATATAAAGAAATAGACAGATCAATAAAATAAAAAGAAAAAAAAGTAAAGCTTCTTTTGAATCTTGCATTCTTTGACAAAACTCTTGTCCTATAGTTTACTCTTTATTAATCCTTCTAAAAATCTCACTTATAGAAATGATTCACAAGAACAACACAAGGCCTAAAACGACATATGATAAAAACCAAAATAACCACACGGATTGCAATATGATGATGTCAACAACGTTTGTAACAGTGATGAAAATCAAAAAATGAAAGAAGAAGAAAATATATACCTTGACGTCCTTTCCTGGCTTGACCTTCTCTCCTACAGCTATTATCCCATAGATGAGCTTCATATCTCCCCGTCCACCTATGTCTGCATCATTAATCAAAATTAAACATTAATACTTCACTTAATAAGCATTTAAATAATCAGAACTTAAATAAATGTCCTTTGACTAAGTAATGTACTAATCACAACATTTTTTCTTAATTTAGAACTTACCTAGTAACACCTCTGTAAATGGAAGTCCTTTGTCCGAACGTATCAGGGATCTTCTTGTTAGAACAATCTGATGTTTCCACAGCCACAACAGGCTTCTCCTTCTCCTTCTCAGAATCAGTCTTCTCACTGTTGTTATTGCTGATTCTTTCAACATTGTAATGATGCTCAGTGATCTGATTATTATCACTATGATTAGTGTTGTTAATGTTAACACCAAGTGACAAAGCTCCTCCGTTGTTAGCACCTCCACCGTGAAAACCAAGCTCCGAACCGGAAGATTCAACCACGTGTCCTAAATACTCTCCGGTTAGATGAGTCCTGGCTATGGAGGCAGAGTCATCAACTTCAGAACCGGAGTTAGTTGAGAAGGCGGTTTGAAAACCGGCCATAGTTTGGTTGTGATCGGAGTAAAACCCGGTTTGGTTTTGGTGACGTGGATCGTAGATTTGAGAAAGGGAAGAAGAGTCTTGTGTTTCGCTTTGGCTGTTGTCAGAGTAACGCACGTCACCAAGAAAATCTTCGAGTTTGGGGATGTGACTCTGAGAATGAGTTTGGAACGTTGTTAGAATCGTTGAATCCGCCATTGAAGCTGCTATCTGAGCTTCTTCTTTGAAAAACTCTTGAGGCTTTTGGTTCGTCCAACCTTATAATCAAAATCAACAAACATCAATAACTATTGTGAAGAAGATGAAACAAGAAAGATCACGAGAAGTTTCCGTATAAGAAATATAAATAAATTTTTTTTTTAAAGAAAATTAGTTTGCCTTTCTCGGGAAACAGACAAAAGTCAGAGAGAAACACGAGGGAGGCTGAGCTCAGCAACAACTCGGTTTGTATAAGCTACGAAGTCGGTTACTAGAGAACCTATACTTACACATCTACACCACACACCAACAACAAGAGCATGTACTTGTGTATTATTACCATAGAAATTATCGAGAAGATAAGGAGAGGAGGAAGCGGCGGAAGAGTCGTCATAGGACACAAACTGAGACTGATCATCTGCAGATGACCTCAACATCTCCATTGGTGACAAAGAAAACGTTAACCAGTTCGTCATCGGAGCCATCTACTGTTTCTTTTTTTGCTTTCTCTCTCTTGTTTGTTGTTGTTGTTCTTCTATTGTGATTCTGAAAGGACAAAAGAGATTAATTTAAGAAGAAAAACAAAAACAAAAAGAGAAGTTTGATTCTTTTTTTTTTCTTTCCAAAATACAAACCTGATCAAGCGTTACACTAATAAGCTTTCAGAGAACTTCTGCATTTGTTGTGGAAAATAAGAACGACAATCACGAGGTTGTTCTTTTATCAGAAGAAGATGTATCTATTGCATGTAAGTTTTGGAAGCTTTAAAGGAGATCAACCAAGGAAGAGCAAATGCATGTAAACAGTTGTCTGAGATTTTCTTTTAAAATGAAGATGGAAGCAGAAGCAGAAGCTCTTTAAGGAACGTCTCAGACGTGTACTTATAAAAGAATGGGGTGAGAAGAAAATCGTTTCCTTTAATCATAAAAAATAATACATTTTGCAGTAAAGAGAGAGAGAGAATGTGCATGTAGAGAGATAGGAGAGGGGTTAAAAAAAGTAGAGCGGTTTCTTCTGTGTCGCCCGGCGTAATACCGGAGGAGATTTTTTTTTTCTTTTTTTTTGGTAGCTTTAACTTTTTTCTTTGTTTTTATTAATTTTTTGACGGATTATTGAAAAGGTTAGAACTCTCTTACTATACGTCTAATACTATTATAGAAGACGTAGTTAATTCAATTTTTGTTATGACCGGTTACATAAATATTGTTTGAATACCATCCAATTTTTACAATGTCTGAAAACTTTGTCTGTCTGCTAGCGTAGGTTTTATACTAGGCGTTTTCATACATACAAAAAAAAGTGATAACTTTTTCTCTGGTCGGCAGGCAAAAATGAGATTTATATTTACAAAGTATTACTTTTTTTTTTCCAATGATGTACTGTTTATGATATAACAAGTAATAGTATTCAAAAACAATAGTAATGACCCAAATGTTTGTCGCCTGAACACCAAAACTAGTAAAATTGTACAACAGTACGTTTGTTCTTTTGTTACAAAATCACAAAAAAAAAATGTCTAAAAGGAACTAAATGAAAGACAGGGATTTGTTAATATTTACAAATCAAGTTTACCATACAAATTTTGTAGATTAGTGATATCATTTCACGAATACTTAGAAATTGTATGTGAGATATGTTATTTAGTAGGAGCAACATGGTTTAACTGAGAAAAAAATGTTTAGTATTTATATAGCTTCTGATATCTCCAAATAATAAAAAATATATATTTGGTTTAATCAAAATAACATTTTCATTTGAATAGTACCGCGGAGGAGAAATTTTGGCCTGAGCAAGATCCCAAAAGATGTGGGAGGTGATAATTAATTTACCAAATAAACCTTTATATCGAACCAAAGTAAACCACTCCATGTTTCCACTTGTCATGCATGCATTGGGATCTTTTCTTCTCTCATGCCCCACTCTTAATCAACCCAGTGACCCACCCAACCAGATTTTACTCTTTCGGGTCGGATTTTTAACTTTCTACTCGGTTACGTTTTTTATTTACATTGTAACCCCTCTGTAGTTTTCTTTTGTCATCTAACCCCTCTTTAATTAATATTTCATATTCTGGTTATTTTATTTCTCTTTTTCTTTTAACATTCATTTACATCCAACATACTTAGGTATAAAATGATAAAATGTTTACTAAATCATTTGGTTTGGACTCTATTGAAAAAGGCAAATATAGGTTACATTGTGAGGCGACAAAAGAAAGTTACATGGTCACCTTTCTTATATGATATCTAAGACATTATACAAGACTAATATATCTATTTATATGAAAGCCTCTCACGAGTCATACCTAACATTTATGAAATGCAAATAGTATGGTTATTAAAGTTCCAAGAGGGTAATAGAGTAGGAAGCCAAGTGATAGTTTTGAAAAGATCAAATACTAGCTACACCTTTTTGGGTCAAAAGAAACCGGTCAAATCCCTCGTTAAATTATATTGGACCGGTTAAAAAGCATTTTCTTGCATAGACGATGATTTTTTTTTGTCATAGACCCATCCACAACTAACTATAAAATCAAAAACTTTAACTGGAATTACGTAGTTAAAATATTAATTATGAAGAAGTTGAGAGATCAAGAAACAAAAAGAAAATGCTTGTGGGGGACAACCCGCCAAATGAGGAGGCGGGTTTCCTCTGTTAAAAACGAAACACATACAAATATTTATTTAAGGGGGAAAAGGAAGGTCCAGTAATTAAGGCACGTGATTAGAGTTTTGATGTCGCAGTATTTAATAATCTATAGCATTTCGAATCCTATACTTCCACTTTATTGAACTTCAAATATCTTCAACGTTCGATTTTTTTATATATTGTTAGTATATTTAAGAAGAATAAAAACTTTAATACAGCACCTAAACAGATATCTACCACCCAATTGTTGTAAAACAAATATCTACCGTCCTTTAATCAAGTCGATGGAGTTTCACTTTGCCATATGTTGTAATAAATTGTACACAACACGTCGAGGTAAATTAAAGAATATCTTCGTATTGGTAGGTCAAAATGAATTAGAGATATGCGAGGGGAGTGAACGTTCATACGCTTGGTCACCATTTGTTAGTGTAAATTGGAATAAAGATAATAATGTACATATTTGTAATGTAAGAACGTGTGTAAAATCGGTCCATCGATATGTTAACACACAAGTTTGGTCGACTCGCTTTATATATGACAAGCAGCGGACACGACATTAGGGAGTTCCGCGTCTGAGTTTAACAATCATCTGGATTGTTGGCACGCTCTTTTAGATTTGGTCTGCTCAGGAATGTGCTGAATGACAATTTGGCATGTGATTCTTCAAAACATACGTTATATTTGGTGTGATATTTTTTATAATTTTGAAACACTTCAGTTTTAAAGCTACTTGTATTTATTATTCTTTCAGGATTCTGTCAAACCATAAATATATGTATGATCGAAATATTTAAATCTTACGTTTTCACATTACTATGTATAAACATTGAAAACAAAATATTACAACATGCTAAAAACAATGCTGCTCCACTGATCTTTTGACAAAAAAAAGTTTATGGTCAATCGCGAAAATACCAAGTGTATTGTGTACAAATATATAATAACATATACCGCGATCAGAGATTGTCGTTCAGACTGAAACGAAGAACTATAGAAGCCAGGTTCACTAAAAATAAAAAGAAAGAAAGAGAAGAATACTTTAGAATTGTGTGATATCATGGGTGTCTTTATTTAAAAACTCAACGGGCTCGTGGCCTCTCCTTAGGGTTCTGGCCAGACTGACGTGGCACTATAGTCATTAAAAGGTTCCGGTGATAATTCGGTTACAGACTATATAATATACGTACCTAATCAAACATTTATCCTCACTAATTGTTGTCCTTATAATACGCACTTGATCTATAAATTATGTTCTCTAACTATCGTCGCTCTGGAAGACTTAGCCTTAACATCTCTTAACTGCATGTGAAATCACACGTGAGGATGGTCACACCTGCCCCTTTTGTATCGAATGTTAATCCATTGACGATAAAAGCTCCAAGGTCGTATACACACACATTGTATATATTATTAATCTTGTTGGAACACCGAGCACATATAAATACAAGTTCCCTGCAATTCATATATAAATTTATAAGTGCCACCTCATCGCACGTGGCTGAATCTAGCAACTTGAGAGGATAGACACATGCTTCCACATCATCCCCCTCTTTCCCCTTATGAAGTGATTCACAATAATACTATATGATATATTTTGTCACACGCAAATTGCTGTATATTATCAATCTCGTATTGATCAATATCGTCACCTCCTCCAATGGTAAATTCAGTACTCGTTGAAAATGACCAAATATATGTTATAATTATTGAAATGGATTCCATTCTGACTTCATGTTAAATATTTGTTTTAAGAACTCCAATATACTTTACTGTGAATGTATAAGTGATAGTATGATTATGTTACCAGTTTACGTCTAAATTATGCAAGTTATTTCTTATTGTTGATTTATGTTATCAAAAGCTCTAATACGTTACAGATTTTATACATTGCTAATAGACTGTACGTGATAATACACCACATGTTCGCCTATACATTGATATTCAATCATCATTCAGACGTCTAAAAGATACAATTGAATTGATGAGATTGTTAGAATAAATCTGGTAGAAACATACAATTTCTGACTTTTATGCGTTGATTGTTTCCCAATACAAGAACACAACACAAAAGAGCAAAACAAATAATTCGATCGACGCCAAACAAATTGCTTAAACTACATAATTACCATATAAATTCTAAAACAGCCATTAAATAGTGTAATAAATAGACATGTGCATTCAGAAAAATACAACGAGAAACAAAAGGCAGTGTATTAGTTTACAAACAAACATTTTATATTATGTTCACTTTAACTTTGCCCTTGAAGCCTTTCATGTATAGTCATGAAGCCACGATAATAAACCTATCGTGTTCAGATATACATAGAAGTAAAGGATGTCTATTAAAGAGTCTTTACTAACACAAACTCTCCTAATCATCATCCTTATCTTGGATACCCAGGAATTAATTAAAATAATGCGACAATTATGTATCTAAATTAGTGTTGTTTAAATAGTTTGGGAGGTTCAATGTGCTAAGTGAATCAGTTGCTTTTGACCTTTGACCAAAGAGGCACGTGCGCGGCATATTTTGATTTTCGAAGATTTCGGTGTTGCACGTGCGACCCTGTCATCCTTTCTATTAATCTATCATCTTTTGTCTTAATCTCTTTCCCTAAACCTTCTCTTTAATTCTTTTTGTTCCCTCAAAAACTATTACTACTTCTTAAATACTTTAATTTATTTAAAGACTTTTATGTTTTGGTTGTATTAGGCAAACTTGTAGGGGCAAAGACTCAAATTATATCGAAAGCAGTGAAACAATTTTATGGAGTATATTTTAAATGGTAAAGTTTCGTTTGTTTGATTTGTACACCTTCTCATACAGAATTTAGAAGATTTTCTATTAATTTATTTCAGTATTAGAAGTTTGCACACACCAACACTAATTCAAAAACAATGAAAAACGAAATTGAAAAGATCTTACATGAAAGATCGGAAAACAAAGCGATTCATTTATACACCTGTAAGATGAATCAACATATGTGAAAGAGTTACCCATTATAAAATAGGAGTACTTTTTGATTCTTCTCTGATACATTGTTGGCGTTTAACTTCTTGTGTTGAGATAAAAAAATTAATAATATATCTCTGACAGTAACTCCGTGTTTGATGGGTAATTTACCCACTTGGGGGGGTAATGATGCTTGCACTTTGCACACGTCTTAAGAATTCGCATTATGTGTACCATAGAATAACGAGTATATTTTGGTACAATCGCTAGTTAAAGTAGTGATATACTATAATAGATAGATGTTAAAAGATAATGAGTAGTTCAGTAGATTAGTTAATAGTGCCAGAACTTGATAAATCTATTTGTTTAATTCATTTTTCTTTCTTACAGCAAAGATCACGACGAATATGTACAAATCATCCATTAGTCAAACAAAACAGCCGGGAACTAACGCGATCTGCTAGCTGTAGATAGATAGCCAAGCGTTTTTCCTTTTGTTTCTTTCTTTAAAAGTCATAATAGTAAAAGTGGTTCACAGTCATAGAAGTTATTTACTTCACATCAAAGAAGTAGGGACTATAAAGTGATTCACAAGCTTAATCAACGTTATTATGGCTAGGATATTTCCAAACACGATCTAATTTTTCCTCTATAGATTTTTTTCTAAATAAAATGATTGAATTTAAATCTATTAAAGATACAGACTTAATCTCTTGATAGAAATACAGTCCACAAAATCTCTTTTATAAACATTCAAATGGGAAAAAAGTAATAGTCTATATTTTTGTGGCTTTCGAAATTTGAACCAAATTTATCATATTAGATTTTTTCTCTCATGAAGCCTAATGAACCCCAAAACCACAGCCATATTCGCCACAATATCTCTTTTCTTCTCACACGGATAGATTCATGGAGTTTAGATCACGCTATCCCATAATACAATGAAGCTGCAGCGACATTGCTATAAGTGTCACTCGTGATCTATGTCCCCAGTCGTACATTGCCAAAAATACTCCAACGTGGCTTCATCACTTATTTGTTTTGGAGACCCAGCAATAATAGATTTTGGTGAGGTCCTTCCTACTTTTGTTTGATGTCAAATGACATCCCGTCTTTTCTCTTTTGTTTCTCATTTTTGTAACATCTCGATTACTTCATTTTACCAGTGTTAAATTTTTTTTTTTCCTCAAACACTATTGTACTACCACATTTCTCTATATAGTTTAAAATAAAAAAATTCAAATACTAGATATACTTCATAAATATATAGAGTAATTTGTTTATTTTAATTTTTGGATAAAATTTATTTATTTATTATTTATCACTCTATTTTCACTGTAAAACAAAGTATTATTAAAATAAACATATATATTGTTCACAAAAAAAACTAACTCCATTATACAAAAATATAGTGATTTATTTGAGATGGTCTTATGACTCACAACTAGACCAATCACTTACCATATGAATCACATTATATTGTGAAAAAAAATTCATCATAACTCGCTTCAGTTTGATTAGTTATCTTAGAGGTATACATACTTAGAGTCCCATGCAAGGAAAGATTTAAATCCATAAACATATTAATTTGATATAGTAGTAGTAATACATGAAAACGATGTTCAAGTTACCTATGAATCAGGCCTCATCTTCTTAGACATTGAAGGTTGGATACAAGAGAAAAGAGATAATCTCTGCTTCTTGGGTTTAGCATCGAAGATAAACGATCTCAGAGGAATACTACTTTTCCCATCTTGCGTAGACCGTGAACTGGACCGGTTCTTTGACTCAGAAAGTGAAAACTCCTCACTCAACTTCCCAAGTGTCTTATCAGCTTCTTTCTGCAGTTTCAAAACTTGATCCAAACCTGTCTGAAGCTCTTCTGCAATCCTGTTGTTCTCCTTTTGCATGTTTGAAACCTCACCTTCGAACTTAGCTCCTTGGTAGATAGTAAACTTCTTTTCCGGATCTTCAGAATCTGTTTTGAGAGCTTCTGTTATTCCGTTTTGTATGTTGTTTAACGTTGAAGCTCTTGAGTTGATCTCTTCCTTTAGCATTAGACTCTTCTCTAGCCAGATGGTTAGTTCAGTGCGTATCTCGTTGAGGTGTTTGTAAATAGGACGAACGTTTGATCTTAGAGAAGGCTTATCTTGATTCTTCTGGTCCACGATCTTCATCAACTCAGCATGTAAGTCTTTAATCCCAGTATCGAACTGTTGTATCTGTCCAAACGAGTTGCTAAACCTCACCAGCAAGTTTAAGTTTTCACTTAACAATGCATCAACTCTTGCTTCAAATAGTTGTTCTTTTGGTGATAACATCTGGTTCTGACCAGTTATTGCGTTTATGGCATTATCTTCTTTGTAAATTAACATGAACAACTGCTCACGCTGTTGTTTTTGTTCCTTGGCTGTAGTCTTCTGCTTATCATCAGTTTTACCTTGAAGCAGAAGGAGGTTGAGTTTTTGGTTCAAGACTCTGAGCTGTTCATCTTTTATTGTGTTTTCACTCTTGAGTCTTGTTTCTGTTTCATCTAACATCTTTTTCACTTCCTTGTAGCTTCTAAGTACCTTTGTGTATTCTGTTAAGAGATGTTTCTCTCTACCTTCAATCCCATGTGCAAGAATCTTCTGCAAAAACTCTTTATCTTCAGCTTCAATGCCTGTCTTTGGTGATAATAAAACTTCACTTTCTTTAATTTCTTTTTCAGCAATAACCACTTCAGATGATGGTTTAACATCTTCAGACACAACTGAATCATCAAGTTTTTCCTCTAGAATCTTTGCATCAATCAAAGATCTTGCATCTTGGATTGGCACATTAGTAGCCTTTGATTCTTCTTCTCCTTCTTGTTTCAAGCTTGTTAACTTCTCAGACAAGGTTGTATCACTCAAAGATGTAGCATTTTGAATTGGCACATTAGTATCCTTTGATCCATCTTCTCCTTGGTTTAAGCCCTTTAACTTGTTAGACAAGAAAGTTAGTTTTATATGTGCTCTAGTAAGGTGTATTTCAATGTTGTGACTCTGTTCTTCAACCCCCTTGTGTATACCATTAATACCATTCAGCTTTTCCTCCATCTCTCTCAGCCTCTTCTTCATGTCAGCAGTATCTTCACCACTTTGAGATGAGTTGTTATTATTCTCTTTAAGGGCTTCAATCTGTGCCTTGAGATCATCAATCTCTTCTCTTAGCCTTTGTATCAAAGCTGCTTGAGATGAAAACAAATTCTCCAAATTCATCACATCATTCACAAGCTCATCTATATTATCAGCCACATCTGTTATAGTAAGACATGAGCTAGAGCTATCCACCACCACCTCATCTTCATTCACCTTCTCCTTAACCTCTTCCTTTTCCACTTCTCCACTTCTTTGAGTCCTTGTTTCATCATCAGAATGTTTATCAATCTCCTCTTTTGATTTACTAATCTCTTGTCTTGCGATCTCAGTTTCTTTCACATTCTCCTCATGCTTCTCCCTCATCTCATCCAACTTCTCCTCGCATGATTTAAGAGCTGCCGCTGACATCAGAACCTGAGCTTCTTCATCTTCAATCACAACAGCACCTTCATCAAACTCATCTTGCAAACCACAAACCTTCCCTTGTATCTCCATAATACGATTCTCAATCTCCCAATACTTCGCAAGCGCATTCTCGTAAGAGCTCTTCACAAACTCCTTCTCCGTTTGCAAAACAAGAATCTCTTTCTGCAACTTATCAATCTCCTCAACCGCCTCGGTTTTGCTTAAACCGGACTTGTTAACCACAACATCATTATTACCTTTGTTATTATTACCTTTCCTCGAGTTAAACATCTTCGTAGCAGCCTCGGGGTCTTTTATAGGAAACTCAGGAACCTTTGGAACGTTCTTATTCGGTTTACGGTTTCTTGGAGAGGAAGGAAGAGCGGATTCATCGTCTTCGTTCATTGCAAACTCGGGGACTTGGTCGGGGAACACAGATGCGATGGTTGTGTTTGCGTTTTGTAGCTCCTTGGAGATGTGATCGTAACGTTCAGCTAAAGCACGGTAGGCTTTGAATGCTTCTTCCACGAAACTGATTAGTTCTGGTCTTCTCTTGTAATACATTTCAGCACGCTTTGCGAAAGAGTCACCTTCGTCTTCCAATAGCTTAAGTGCGTATTGCACCTTCTCCTCAATATCTGAATATATATATAACAGTTAAGAAAATGTTAAAGATGTGAATAGACGTAATAAGAATGTTACCTTGAAGATTTTCATCGAGCCATTTGGATTGTTTGGTTCGGACATGGCTTGCCCACCACCATGAATACGCATTGCTCGCAGCTCTTCGTAACATTTTTTTTTTTATTATTCTCTAGACTTTCTTTTGTTTTTGGCTTTTTTGGAAAATCAATACGTTTAACAAGAAGATCTCATCTTTGCTTCAATATATTGTGTTTTAAAAAATTCTGTCCAAGAAAAGCAAAAGAGAGGTGTTTTGTTTCCTTTTTTGTTGATAAAAGTGTGGTGCAGAGGAAGATTCGGCGCCAGATGGTTTCTTCTCATTAATGGTAAGTTGCTATTTAAAACACATGCAGTTTTGGGTCTGAATATATAGTTAAAAGCCCAATATGAGCCCATAAATAAACTGATGTATAAAACACATCACAGCCCACGATACCTACCTACACGCGTTTGGTGAAAAGAAGAGAAAAAAACGGCACCGGTTAATAGGGTACAATTATCCGGGGGAGCATCATTAAATACGCGAATCAATTCGCCGCAGTAGTCTGACGTGTCGGAACACGTGGCGTTTTGATCACCACTTTACCCGGAACGTTGCTTGTTACGAAACGTCGCCGTATTCTCTGTCTGCGCGAATCCCTCTTCCTCTCTTCTTCCCAGAAGCTCCTTGACGAAAGAAGCTTCAAACCCTTGATTTTTTTTTTTCTTGATTCTGAGGTAAGTTTTTTGCAATTCATGTTTCCTTATCGGCTCATTCGATTTGTAACTTCGACTTTGAAATTCGTATTTGATTTAACTTGTCTGTATAAGAGTGGATTGCTTCGTTTTTGATTGAAATTCGATTCTTTTCCTCCTCAAAATTATGAACTGATCGACCGATTTGATGATTGCTACGTTGTTTGCGACTTGGTTTGATACTGGATGTTTCCTATAGATGAGATTTAGGATAGATTTAGCTAATGTAAGTTCATTATAGCTGCTTAGTTTGGATAATGATCCACAATTTTTATCTAAGTTGTATAATTTAGGGTTTAGGGTTATGAATCAAATTGTGTTGTGTTTTCTCAAGCTCTAGTTCCTTCTCATTTGTATATGAATCACACTCTGATTCTCACAGTTTGTTAAAGAGATATTTCAGAAATTTAATAAATGCAATTATTAACACTACTTTTCACCGACTTTCATTGGAACTCTTGTTCTGTATCATACACATTGGTTTATTTGGTGTTGTTTGGTTTCGATAGTGCAGGGTTCTTGTTGGCATTAGTTAGTTTCTTTCCGTAAGTCTGCACGGCTTATGATCGGTGCTACTAACGCGTTTAGCTAAGACCTTGACTCTGCTCAGAATATGGCTCTATATAGTTCATTGCAGCTGTCCCATGGCTTCGGTCTCGTTAGAAATCAATGGTGCTATAAGCCTGATAATGTATGTTCTCTTCCATTTTTAGACCTAATATTTGTTTTCTCCCCTTCGTTGTTCTAAATATGTGTTTTGTTCTTAGAGTGCCATCAGAAGGAGGCCGCATGTATCGAAGGTTCCTCTCTTATTAGGTTCTCCGGTAATATCTCCAAAATAGCAGCTTACATTCATTTAACTTGTTTGTTGATGTCTAGTAGTAACTTATTACTTTTCTGTGTACAGTTGGGGAAACATGGTTTCAGGAACACTTTGCTGTCGGATTACTTTCGTAGACCTATTTGTTCAGTACCATGCAGAACCGCCGCGTTTAGGTGTCATTCGTTTTCTGCAGGAAGCAACGTCATTGAACCTGCTATTAAAGCTGCCACTTTGCTGCTAGCAAAGTAAGACTTCTTTTTTCTTATCATCACTTGGAGAACTGAGTTACCACTTGGTAAACTGTGAAACCTGTATTATCACAATTTTTATTAGTTGATCTTTGTGGATTTTAAGGATTGCATAGTAGTAGTCTTGAAGCATCTAGCTCGTATTAAATAAATTTTATTCTAGTCCAAGAAGTTGAAGTAACCAAACATGCTTTGTTATTGCTATGATTCCCCTTAGGGAAGTTGTAATATTTTTAGTTGGGAATTTTGAAGGGGTGCGTTTATGTTTATGTTTCTCGCTCCCTTTTATACCATTGTGTAAATATTTGCACTCCGTGGTTTGCAGGTCACACAAGTTAATACAACAATTCCCTCTTGTATATAAGTTGGTTCCAGCTGTTGCTCTTCTTATTTTCTCCCTGTGGGGTTTAGTACCTCTTGTTCGCCAAGGACACAACCTATTACTCAATGTAGGTGTTTCCATTTCAAGTTTAAATGTACTTTTTTTATTAGTACATGTATATGATACAAACTTTATTATTAAAACATTGCAGAAGAATGATAGCGGATGGAAAAAGAGTGGTACCTACCATATTATGACTTCGTATGTTCAACCCTTGCTGTTATGGCTAGGAGCTCTATTCATCTGCAGGTATATCTATCAAGGAGTTCCTCAGGGCTCTTGAGGTTCATTGTTGAGATATTTTTGTGATATACTTCTTTGAAGTGCTTTGTTGAGATAACTGATAGATGGTTTATTTCTAATGAAAATTCAATCTACAGGGCATTAGATCCTATTGTTCTTCCTACCGAAGCTAGCAAAATTGTGAAAGATAGGCTTTTGAATTTTGTGAGGTCATTGTCAACAGTACTAGCATTTGCCTACTGCATATCGAGGTAAGCGTCTGTCTCCTCATTTTAAATACCACGTCTTTTCATCTTCTGTTTTCTATATGTTAGTAGATACTTACACGTGAATTGTTATGTTGTCATCTCATGACTTCTAATTCTGGTTAGATGTGTCCATGCAGTCTTATCCAACAAACACAGAAGCTCTTCTCAGAAACAACTGACCCAAACGATACAAGAAATGTATGTAATGTAAACTCATTAAATGCTCAGCTGACTTTTCCGGTTTGCTAATTTTCCTTTTGAATGAAACAGATGGGATTTCAATTTGCTGGGAAAGCAGTGTACTCTGCTGTATGGGTTGCTGCTGTTTCACTTTTCATGGAGTTGCTGGGCTTCTCTACACAAAAATGGCTCACTGCTGGAGGTCTTGGGACAGTTTTGATTACTCTTGCTGGCCGAGAGGTGATACCTAGATTTCATTCTGATTATTTATTTCTTCTGGATAGTCACAGTCTCCTTAGTAATAACTTTCTCTTCTTATGAAAAGATATTTCACTAAACCTGAGTTTTTGCGGTTCCAGATTTTGACAAACTTTCTTTCAAGTGTTATGATTCACGCAACGCGGCCATTTGTTCTGAATGAGTGGATTCAGACAAAGATTGAAGGTTATGAAGTTTCTGGTACTGTGGAGGTTAGTATCACAATCTTCGAGCTTAGATATTGTTAATCTTTTCCTACCTTCCATGAACGTCGTTCCTATGACTGAACATTTCCTTGATTGTTGCAATGAATTTACAGCATGTTGGCTGGTGGTCGCCAACGATCATAAGAGGTGAAGACCGTGAGGCAATCCACATCCCAAACCATAAGTTCACAGTTAATGTCGTGAGAAACCTTACTCAGAAAACTCATTGGCGTATCAAAACCCACCTAGCAATCAGTCACTTGGATGTTAACAAAATAAATGTGCGTTTCCTAACACTCTTACATGGCCGTTAGCTCATTATACAAGCTAAAGTTATTTATAGCTGCTCCTTGTGTAACTTCTCCAAACAGAATATTGTGGCTGACATGCGGAAAGTGCTGGCCAAGAATCCTCAAGTTGAGCAGCAGAGGTTACACAGAAGGATATTCTTGGAGAATGTCAATCCAGAAAACCAGGCCCTAGTGGTTAGATTCCAACGCATATCTCTTCTTTTGGACCCATGTTGAAGTACAGATCAAATATATTGGATTTTCTCGATTCTGACATCAGATTTTCGTTTTTTTTACAGATACTAATCTCTTGTTTTGTGAAGACGTCCCATTTCGAAGAATACCTATGTGTAAAAGTAAGTTGCAGTCTTTCACCTTATCATCTACCTTATTGCATTCATTTTGTTGGAGTTGCTCAAGTGTGACACTCTTTGCGAAACAGGAAGCTATATTGTTGGACCTCCTTAGAGTCATAAGCCATCACCGAGCACGTCTAGCTACACCAATACGTACAATCCGAAAGATGTACACAGACGCAGACATGGAGAACGCACCATTTGGAGAATCAATGTACGGTCCTGGAGGTGTTGCTTCTAGGCGTCCGTTGATGCTTATCGAACCTTCTTACAAAATCAATGGAGAAGACAAATCGAAATCTCAAAACCGTGCGTCAAAACCAACCTCAGAGCAAGAAAACAAGGCTTCCACCAGTCCAAAATCCAAAGAAACACCTTCTCCAGACCCAAAAGCAAACGTGAAAGTTGGAGAATCTGATACCAACAAAACACCTGACGAAAAGCCAGGAACCAAACCGGCTACCATCGCAAAGGATACAACAGAAGCTTCAGGAGCTGAGAAACCAAAGGTCAAGAGAAGTGTTACCACACCAAAGAACGATACTCAGAAGGAAACAACAGATGGTTCAACGTCACCAGCGTCTTATTCAGCCTTGGAAGAGAATATAGTGTTGGGTGTTGCGCTAGAGGGCTCAAAGAGAACACTTCCAATAGAGGAAGAGATGCATTCTCCTCCTCCCACGGAAACAGATGCTAAAGAACTCACCGGTGCTGCTCGGAGATCTGGAAATGGCACATTGGTGGCTGAAAAGGAGCAGAAAGATGACCAGTCTCAAACAAGCTCTAGTGAAAACAATGAGATGGAAAGAAAATGATTTCTTTTGTATACACACATTCTCTTTTGTAATGCGAATTGATTGTTGAATGATTTACCCTCCACAATTCTAGAAGCTGGGGGGTGATAAATTTACATAATTAATATAAGGGTGGTTTTTAGATGGTTGGTTGAAAGTAAAGGGTCAAACTCATAAAATATACAAAAATAAACGGTTGAGAAGTAGCTCACCTGTGACCAGTCTCCATTGGATTATATTTTCATAAATGCATTCACTTCCGATCTCTCCGCCATAAATTGAGTCTTTTCCTAGTTTTGGTTGCTATCTGTCTATTCTCCACATTCATGGCAAAGTTTCTCTCTATTATCCGTCGAGTGTACCTCACTCTCTACAACTGGATCGTCTTTGCTGGATGGTAAGTCCAAGTCGCCACCCTCTTTACTCTTCTTTATTCTCTTTGGAGCTGAGTCAAACTGTTTTGTGTGTTTTAGGGCTCAGGTTTTGTATTATGCTGTAAAGACGTTGAAGGAAACGGGACATGAAAATGTTTATGATGCTGTGGAGAAGCCTCTCCAGCTTGCTCAGACTGCTGCCGTTCTCGAGGTTTGTCTGTCTTTCATGAAAAATATTTGTCTGGATACAAACATTTGTTGCAACTCTGAATTGGTTCTGTTTTTGCTTGTTGTCTCGAACAGATTCTTCATGGATTAGTAGGTAAGTGATATGATCCATTACACTAATTGGTCAAACTTTGAAGATGTGTTGACTGGTTTATGTTCTGCTTTTGTCTATAAAACTCGAATAGGTTTGGTTAGATCTCCTGTTTCTGCAACTCTGCCACAGATTGGTTCAAGGCTGTTTCTCACTTGGGGCATCCTATACAGCTTTCCTGAGGTTACTTAGAATTTTACTAGCACTACTAGTTAGTTGTTTCTCTCTGTTTATTGCATTTTTCATCATTTGATCTTTTGAATTATGTTCCATTTAATTTCAGGTCCAATCACATTTTCTTGTTGCGTCGCTAGTCATAAGCTGGTCTATCACAGAGGTGAATATACGTCTTTTCTTCCTTTTGGTTTTTGTTTTCAACCCTTGTACATCGCTCTTAGTAAAGATAGATTCACCAGTTTCCTTAAGTTTGTCTTGAATCTGAGATGTTTGAACATATTGCTTCTCTTCCAATGCTTTGGAAGTTTCCTGTCACATGTGTCATTGAAGTACAGACCAAGTGATTCTATGTTTATATTACCTAGCCGTTAAGCATGCCTCTTTGAAAAGAATCAGTTTTTTTGCTCTTTACTCCACATATCCATGAAGTCTTCATATGACTTTAGTTAACATGTTTGGTCTAAATGATTGGATGATTGCTTGATATTGCAGATTATTCGCTACTCCTTCTTTGGTCTTAAGGAAGCTCTAGGCTTCGCACCTTCATGGCACTTGTGGCTCAGGTATGCAGTATTATAAATTCTGCCTTGATAATTGATAAATACGCTAACCTGATCACATTTGTTTTTGTCTTTTTGTTTTAATCTGTTCAGATACAGCAGCTTTTTAGTGCTATACCCAACTGGTATAACCAGTGAAGTAGGTCTTATCTACCTTGCGTTACCACACATCAAGGTAATACAACCAACAACTTAATGTCAATTCTTATAAGAAATGAGAAAACCTTTTTCTTTACAACATCTGTTTGAACCATGAAGCCTTATTATGTTGTATGTTCCTTTGTATATGTTTAGACTTGTAACTCTATTTACATAGATAGACTGAACTTTGATGCTATGTATAATAAAGTTGTGGATTTTTTTCAGTGTTTGATGTCTGAATGTTCCATTTGTGTTTTCTTGCAGACGTCTGAGATGTACAGCGTTAGGATGCCTAACACATTGAACTTTTCATTCGATTTCTTCTATGCAACGATACTCGTCCTTGCAATCTATGTCCCAGGCACAGATTCATTTGACATTATCTTATACCATATCTCATGAATCTGTTTAGTTCTGATCTCTGACTTATTTTGTTTTTGGGTTTTGTTGAGCTGTTGCAGGTAGTCCACACATGTACAGGTACATGCTTGGTCAGCGTAAGAGAGCTCTCTCCAAATCTAAGAAGGAATAAAAAGAAGCTTATATAGAGGAGACCAAGGCACTTCAGTTTTCTTCTCTTGTGTGCTTCTTTCATTGTACTTGTCTTTGTTACTCTTTAAGTTGTTTAGTTCCTTGGCGATTATTTGAAGTTGTCCACGCTACTATTACTATATTAGGTTTAATTAATGCAGTGTCCAAACTACCACGCTACTACTACTATATTAGGTTTAATGCAATGTCCAAACTAATACCGAAGTTTTCACGAATATGATCGTCTGCTACTTGAGTATTTGACACTTAAGATTGATCATTAGTACAAATGTTGACGTATAACTGTCTGAAGACTCTGAACGCCGAGTAAAAACGTTTTTGACGCCATACATTTATATAGAATCCAGTGTACGTTTCCTAAGACGATAAATCTAAGAAGCTATGGTGGTTTAGAGAAGTAACTAAAGTTCAGACATAGAGGAAACATCAAAACGTCGCTTTGGCCGAGTGGTTAAGGCGTGTGCCTGCTAAGTACATGGGGTTTCCCCGCGAGAGTTCGTATCTCTCAGGCGACGATATTTTTATTGTTTTCTTCTTATACCAACAGTGATGAATTTGCATATCGTAGTTTTACATATAAACCTGTCTAGTAACAGACACCACAAAGATAACATATTTTTTCTCTGTTTCACTCAAGTTTTAGTATCTTCGAAGATCGTAGATCGAACCTATCCCATTATGTCCCATATCCCTTTGCATATTAAGACAGACACATCAAGCGAACAAAACAAAATGCAGTTGTTCCATGGTCTTGTCTGCTATACATCCTTCAAACTCTCCATTCTGTTTCTAAAACATCAGATTCTGTTGTTGTCTCCTTGTAAGTCGTGGATGATGTGCATCATTTTCATCTGCCTCCTTTGCATTAGCATCTGTTAAACATAAAAAGATAGTTTCTGAGAGTACAAGACGGTAAACAACATTCTCTACAAGCTTTTTTTTTTTTTGATCAACTCTCTACAAGCTTATTAAACTACAAGTTCAGAAAAGGAAAGTAACCAACATTCTCTACAAGCTTCTCCACGAGCGCTTGTGTATGTATAGCTTCTGAATTTGGCCCATATAAAGGCCCAAACATCTTGCTGACTCACTAAAAAAAAAGTATTTATCGTCTATTCACTCGCTCTTATCACAAAACCAAGCCCATTACCACATTCCACCCTCCTAGAGCCTTCACGCGCCTACTGATATGGCGCCTACTCATCCAATAAGGCTTGGTCTTGCATTGAATTTCTCGGTGTTTTACTATGAGATAACTAATTCTTCAGACAAAGCTTGTAACATGGCCAAACAGGTATCATCTCATTTGTCCTGAGTATATTTGTCTCCTTCCTGACCAGTGACCACGGTTTGACTAGTCCTATAATTTTTTTTCTTGAGATAAATTTCTTGAAAAAGAGTCTTTGATCTGTTGTTCTTCTATTTGGATCAATTTGAATCAGTTTTTTTTTTTTTATAATAAGAATCACTCACTCTGTGTTGTTGTTTATATTAGTACTAATGTCTGTTTCAGTCTGCATATACCACAACTCCTAGCTAAGTATGTAATAAGGGATAGATTTTTATCATAACCTGGGATTTGAGGCTTTGATTTAAACTGTGAACGTAGGCATTTGAAGAAGCAATAGCTGAGCTTGACACACTGGGAGAAGAATCCTACAAAGACAGCACTCTCATTATGCAGTTGCTTAGGGACAATCTTACCCTCTGGACCTCCGATATGCAGGTGTTACTTCACATCTCTCTTTCTACTCTTTACTTTCAAAAGTCATCTTAATTAAAGCTGTTTTTTTTTTCAATCATAAATCGAACCGTGCTTTCTTACTTGATGTATCTATCCGTGATCAGATGAATCACAGTAGATCAACTCTTTTTGTAGTGAATCATCATTAATATTCTGTGTTCAGGAGCAGATGGACGAGGCCTGAGGATCTTTGATGGAAAAGAGAAAGAGAGAGTTATGCTGCCATGTCTCTGATCTCAAGATCCTTATAACATTGGCTTGAAAAAAAATATTATTCTTTTATGATGAGTATGTGCACAGCTTGATGATTTGTCTACTCTTTTATCTTTAAAGTCTTAAATGTTCTCTAAAACTTGTAATCTCTTAGACTTTGATGAAGCCTTGAAAACCTGTTTATCCTTCTTATACTCGAATTTTGATTCTTCTAACTCTGGTTAAAGTTGGAAACCAATAATCCACCGTTTCCTCTGGTTCAAGTTGTTGGAAACAAACATTCTATTGATTCAAGTTTGTTTGGATACCAAAAATATTGGTTTCATTATTTTTTTTGGGGGGGGGGGGGGATGGACGAGTCCTGAGTACAATTAGTTATAATCTATGAAGATATTAAATTTTTGTGTTCTTGATTTTCTTGCTCACACAAATGACATGTTTACAACGTTATGTCTTTCGAAAATTAAACAAAAAAAAAAGAAATAATACAAATCACAGGGAAAAAAAGGTAGAATAGAAGAAATCGAATGTTTTATTTATTTATTTATTATGATTCAACTAAGAATCTAAAACATCATAAATATAATCTGGTGAGACTACCTTAGCTAGAAACTCGAAATTGTAAACGTAGAATCTACTGAGACTGACTATTAATACGCCTTCTTACCTTTCCGCAAATATGATCAAAAATTAAACTAAAAAACTAAAACAAATCACAGCGGAAAAAGTAAGTAAAATTAAAGAAATCAAACACTTATTTTTTTTTTATGATGATTCAAAATAAATAAAAGATGATAGAATCTACTAAGACTAGACTACTTTAGCTAAAACCTCGAAATTGTAAACATAGATAATGTATTGGAAGAAGCCAATTGTGTAAACGCCAGAGGCTGGGTGAAAGTCTTCACCAGCAAAGTTGATGGCTAAAACACCATTAATAAAAGCAAGGAAGAGGATGATGAGACCATGTCCAATGTCAATGGTGCTAGTGAGGTGATAGATGGAGACTCCTCCGGCGAGAAATAAAAAGGTGGAAACAGACATCCACGGTGGGGTAATAGTTAGGAACATAAAACATGATTGGTAGTACAATCAAAGATGTTACAGATCTAATATTTTTTGAAAATTCGGCAAAAAAAACACGAACTTTGTACAAATTGTCAGAAGAAACTTGTACTCGAGTCTGGCAAAAAAAACATGTACTTTTGTTGACTACACATCGTTAACGAGCAGTTAAAATGTGTTAAATGTAGACCCTTGGATTCAAACTCGGGTCTTCTTAGTGTTGCCAAGACTACAAGAATGTGAATATAGCAACAAAGACAGATCGCTGGGAAACTGGTGTTCTTGATAGCTTTAAGCGTGTCATCAATCGCTACAAAGAAACCTAATGTGAGTACCAGAGGTATGGCTTAGACGAAGATCTTGAGATTCTGATAGTCCAGCGGTGGTGGTGGCTGTTGTTGTAGCTGTTGCGGTGGATGCGGATGATTCTGTCGGTATATGATGATGAATTCTGAAATTGCGACTGCATAGAGGACTCCCAGACCTGTCATGGCGTCGGAGTAGGTAGAGACAAACAGTGTTCCGAGTTTCAACACCAAGGTGAAGCCCAAGATCACCGTGATGATGGCCATAATCACCAGTGTACGAATGCGAAGCGTCGGCATGAGTGCTTGGTGATTAATCACCCATCTTTTCGTTTAACCAAGCTAACATGATCGATCAAGAAAGAGAGAAGAACTGAAGAAAGAGTAAGAAAAGAGGGTGTTTCAATGATGATGTGATGATGATTAGTATATAAATGGGATTTGAAGAGCACTCAGCTATGCCACGTGGATCGGAGATTCTTAAGGAAAAAAAGACAAAAATAAATTAAAAATGGTACAATTAGTTAAAACATGTGTTTAATTGAGAGAGTTTAGATTGTGGGCAGCAGCGTATTCACAAAAATCCATCTCTTCTATTTCGTAATTGGTCTCTCTTATCGAAATCCCTTCCTCGTCGATTTGATTATGTTGTTAATGATGTTTGCCAACGGAGATGATGTTAACAAAATCAAGAAACAAAAATATCTTTATAGATTATAACTAATTGCAGAGAAATTCTTGGTTTACTTACCCCTAGGTGAAACTATAGATTCATCAACCAATGAGAATTAATTATTTTACACACAAAAATATTTTTATAGATTATAACTAATTGTAGAGAAATTCTTGGGTTTACACCCTAGACGTTGGCTTCTTCCAATACATCGCCTACGTTTACAAGATGATTACAATTTCGAGTTTCTAGCTAAGGTAGTCTTACTAGTCTCAAAGGAGGCCAATCTCATTGCACAAGTGCAAATTGTATTCTTCAAATCCAAGAATATGTGTTATATGGCTTTTGTTCCCCTCTACCACCCTTCCACACACTCTCCACGGTCTCTGAGCTGCTCCAGCCTTTCCTCTCCCAATATGTTATGGGTTTTAGTGTCTCAAGAGCTGCAATCCTATGTGATCCAACACGGAAACAATCACCATAACTGATTAGCTAATTAGTCAACAAGAAAGGAGATGCAAAGACTAAACTGTAACAAAGGCATAATGATACTCTCAAGTTTAATGCTAAGCTAGCGTATATATATATATGTATTCTTGCAATAATTCTTTGAATGCATTGCATTATAAACTTTCTTTTTTGCATTAATATCAACAACTAACAAGACCAAAAATAAGAAAAAAAATCCAAGGCTCAGTTAAATCAAAGGGCATGATGTTACGACCGCCATGATGATTTTTAGAGGAAGAGCGATGCATGCGGTTGATTCACTATGTTCTTGTTAGGACTCTGCTGGTTGAGATGTGTATTAAGTTGATGGAGATGAAGACTTTTTTAACTTTTGGTATTAAGGTCTCCTCTGGCTCAAGTTATAAATCAACAATCTTGGTTTCATAGTTGTTGGGGGTTGGATGAATATAGTAACTTCTTTCTTTGCAAATATAATAAAACCAGTCAACGTCCAAGTAAAAATTTATGTAACATAGAGCGACCATAAGACGTGCACACACTTATGCAAGATTCGAGGTGAGAATCAAAAGAAGAAGTCGAATCTCATTGCACGAAGAGATGCAAAACATCAAAATTGTACTTGGACCACTTTGTCTGCATCGCATGCATGAAACGATATATTAAATAGAACACAGTCTTTGGTCTATTTCTGAGACATACATAATTGTTTTCTCATATACTTGTTCAACTTTTCATTTCTCCCACCAATCTTTGATTCTTTTCAGAGAAGGATACTGTAAACATTAAAAACTAAAGAACCAAAGTTGCTGCTCGCTCACACGTGATTCCAGTCCACCTCCACTACAAAGTCATACAAATTGTTGTCAAGTTGAAAGTTATATTTGATTTAAAGAATAAAACCTTGAAAGTAAATACTTTTTAGCTAGAGGCATCATTATATTGTAAGAAACCCACCGATCTCTTTTCTTTTGTTAGGGCGTTCGCTTTACTTCTTTACTGCAAATTAACATTGTGTTGCAGAGAGAGATGTAAGAGATATTATAGAGAGATACTCGAGATACTCATCTCCTCTGTTAAGGACCGTAGCCAAAAAGCTTGAGATTAGAGTGTGTAGTGTTATTACCATAACTCAACCAAAAGAGAGCAAAACAAAGCTTAGAAGTCATAAACGAGTAAGAGTTGGAACAAAACTAATATTCTATACAGAGCAAAACTAATATACACAATATGTTTTTGGGATTAAGAAGATTACATGTTTCGACCTAGAACCTTATGATAAACTAAATTATAGTGTACTGTTATCTAGTCACATTACATGATGATAATCAGAAGTTCTGAAAAATGTGGAGGTCTCAGACGAATTGCTTTTGTGTAGTCCACTAACTAAAGAAAAGTTATTTACAAGTTTTTTTCGAAATATATAGTAGTGAGTTGAGAGATTCAAACATCATTTAATCTCTTACATAGAAAATAAATGGTTCATTGTACCTTCTGATTAAACATTCGGTGTATTTTAAGATTATGTGAATTGTTAATACATTTTCATATCAAAATGTAAGAAATAAGAGCAACTATTGAACATTTTACATCCATTTTCCAAATTAATTTTCCATTATTTAAAAATAAAAGAAGATTTGTTTCCATGGTAATGATACCCTTTGATAGTTCCAACTGAATTTTCTCCATCACATTTCATCTCTTTACCCTAAAGCCACATCTTCATCTATATATCAATATTCATCCTCTCTCTTTTGTTTAATCTCTTCTTACCCCCACAATAATAATCTCAAAAGTAAAAACAAAAATAAAACACAGAGACAAAATCTTTCTTTTATTTCAGTTCATTATCTCTCAATACTATAAAACCAAAACCTGTTATAGATCGGAAAAGACAACCTCTTATAATGGCAGAGATCGAAAGATCGAATTTTGATGATGAGAACTCGATTACTTCTTACGGAACATCGATCCTTCAGTTGGGTTTTTTTCCATCGGAGGAGGACGAAGAGACAATCATCAGAGAGATGATTGAAAAGGAGAGACAACACTCTCCCAGAGATGATTATCTTGAGAGACTGACAAGTGGTGATTTGGATTTAAATGTCAGAAACCAAGCCCTTGATTGGATTTGGAAGGTAACAGCCTTTTTTTTAATGTTGACTTGATTCTTACCAAAGTCAATGTTTCAGTGACTTAAAAAAAAGACAAGACTTTAACCTTATGTCCTTGATTATTACAGGCTTGTGAGGAACTTCAATTTGGACCAGTGTGCATATGCTTAGCAGTTAACTACTTGGATCGTTTCTTATCAGTTCATGACTTGCCTGTAAGTTGAAGATATACTCATTCTCTGCCCCCTAAGGTTTAATAATCTCTTTTGATTATTGATTGAAAGAGTTATGATACTTCTTTAGAGTGGAAAAGCTTGGGCTGTGCAGTTGCTGGCTGTGTCTTGTTTATCACTGGCTACTAAAGTTGAGGAAATTAAAGTTCCAGAGTTAAAACATCTTCAGGTTTTTTTTATTAATCTCCCATTGTCTCGCTTTGTAGTTCTTAGAACTAGAATCAACATTGTAGTAATGATCATAGGTTGGAGATCCTTGGTTTGTGTTTGAGGCTAAATATGTTCAAAGAATGGAGCTTTTGGTGTTGAACGTATTGAAATGGAGGTTACGAGCTGTGACACCGTGCTCTTACATTAGATACTTTTTGAGTAAGATCAATGGCTATGATCAAGAACTATCCAGCAGACTGGTCTCCAGATCGTTACAAGTGATAGCTAGTACAACCAAAGGTGAAGGGTCTCTCCTTTTGTTAATTGAATTTTTGTTATACATTTTCAAACTAGTTTTGCTTTTTGGGTTATGGGTTTTCATTTCTTTGTTTCTATGGTTGTGGGTAAAAGAAACAACAGGATTTATGGTGGTTGTGTGGACAGGTATTGACTTTTTGGAGTATAGAGCTTCAGAGATTGGTGCTGCTGTTGCACTTTCTGTTTCTGGAGAACTCCATACATTACACTTTGACAAATTCTCCTTCTCTTCCTTATGCCCACACCTTGATAAGGTAAGAAAAGTTCACTTTATACTACTTATAAGATTTGATGTTCAGTGTCATTATACATTGTAAAGAATATGGAAACATAGATACATACATTCACTGCACGGTCCATACCAAAACTAGTTCCAGTATAGACCAGCAAAAAAATATGACCAATTCAATTATAGGAGTAAGTTGTGAGGCCTCGTGACATACTCACATGTTTGGTAAAATGTTGTTTTGTTTTCTCTCATTACAAATCTGATGGGTTGCAACTACAATCAAACTTGGGACCAAAAAAAAGTTATGTCCTCAGAGATTATACGGTTTCTTTGTCTTGTTTCATATTTTGTTTGGTGTGTGTGTGCAGGAGAGAGTGAAGAAGATTGGTGAAATGATAGAGAGAAATGGGTCAGCTTCGTGTCCACAGACACCACCCAATAATACAGTCTCACAATTTAAGACTCTTTCTACTTCCTCTGTTTCCTCCTCTCTCACTTCTCTCTCTTAATTTCTCTCTCTCTCTCTCTCCCTTTTTAAAAATGTGGTAATTGAAATTTTGATAAAATAAACAAACCAAAAAGGAATTGCAGAAATTACTTATAAATAAAAAACGTGAAAATGTGTTTTTCTTTCTATGTGGAACTATGAGATAAATATAAGGCTACTATTACTTAGTTGGCTTGTATTTGGTTCCCGCCAAATATTATAGCGGGAAACTAACCGACTCGGTTAAGCCAGAGTTGACTTTCTTCTACTAGCAAGACATTTTAAAACGGCGCGTATTATCGGTTGGGCTTTAATCTAGCCCATTTAGATAATATAATTTGGGTTTTAATTCTAACCCATTTAGATAATATAATTTGTTTTATCATGATCTTCTATTATCACTTGAATCAGTCGAAACACATTCGGTAATGGCATTACAATTTAGCCCAATTTGATAACATATGACAAAATCGATTAGTGGGTTAGACTAATGAAAAGTTGGAGATTAAGGATTGGTATAGTACGTTTTTTATTAACCTTGGGATATGGAGACCTATGAAAAAACCTAAACTAATACACAAGGAAAAATGTAGCACACGGATAAATTATCTCCGAATATGTAAATGGGTCCGAAAGCATGTGTACATATCCGTGTAGATGTTCAGAAACAATATGACATAGTTTCGCGCAACAGGTAGATCGAACCTGAAACGTGTTAACATCCGAACCTGAAATGTGTTAACGTTCAAGTACATTTCCCTTACCACTCGACCATATTACTTTTATGGTATAACCTGCTATTTTCTTAGTTTTAACCTGATATTTTCCCTGATAAATCACTGTAATCATCTAGTACAGCAGCTAAGATACTCTTAGAAATTGATTAGAGGGAAAAATTAATTCACTAATCATTAAAACATAAGCTAATTATTTTATTCCTTTATGGACATGATTTATTAACTCACAATCAAACTGGTTTGATAAAAAAACAGCTGCTTATATAAACTGACCAATCAATTATTGGTTAATTAATACAATTTCTTATTCAGGTGTGATAGTTTTTATTTTTAACCTTATTTAGATCTAATATAGTTATACTTCCCTTATTTCATACTTCATCTGTTTTGTAATGTTACATGCTTTAGAGAAAAACTTGATTTCAAAAATCATTGTAACCATAACTTCATATGTTTCATAATTTTATGCTTCATCTGTAACCATAATTCCCAAAAAAACTTAATTGCACTTATTAAATTCTCATTGGTTTAGATTTATAGAAAAATGATAATCACAGAAAACTATGCATTTATTATATGTTTTATTAATATGTGTGAAAAACTAAAATATGCAACAAATTGAAACAGAGAAAGTCTTAAGTATCCATTTAACTTTTGAAATTTGTTTTATTATAAATGTCAAACTTTCAAGATAATTATTAAATGTTTTCCAGTTTATGTTATTTTAGTTCATTAATTATAAAATCAAACAAATAATATATTAAATAAGGGTAAAACAAAACAAAAAAATAATCAAATTCTTAATTTATGTAAAAGAACTTGAACAATATTTATAATGAAACTGAAGAAATACTATTTTGTATATGATTCAAACGAACCCAAAAAGAAGCTCAAGAAGAACACTTTACATCTGAATCACTGTGGAAATAGCCTGTAAATGTATCAGACGTCACCTTATTATATACTCCTCTTTTGGCTGGTGTTACCTTGTACTATTTATCAAAATATTTAAATCCACTGACAGCTATTTCCAACGGGTATATTAGCAATGTCCAACGGTAACAACACTATTAATATTCACAAACCTAATCCAACGATCAATCAGGTCGGGCACATGGGGTTAATGATTAATTACGAATTTTCATATTTCTTTACAAGATAACTTATTGTATTATAACAAAACATACTATATAATACGAAACAAAAAGGGTCGTTGCTGTATATACAATTAAATAACGGGTGGATCAAATAGACAGAAAGACATGCGAAGTTACAACTCCTTGATTCTTGAACTAAACATGTTAGCTGTCTCCCCACATTTGCCACGTCCTGCACACAAAGTGGCCTAACATAATAATCTTTGAAAATCATATCACTATTCCATTTCCTTTCTCAAAAAAAAAAAATCATATAACTATAAACTTTGGAACCTCTCTCTACAATTATATTGCCCAGCCAGTAACAGCTCGCTACATCAAAAGCTTACTCACCTAATCAAAATTAACTTTCTCCTAATTCAAAATTTTAAAACCATTGTATGTGGATTGTATACTAAGCAAGTCCATATAATAAGATGTTAAAACTTCATCCGACTAATATTTTGGTATTCATCTCACATATGTAGTTCGGGTTACCTTGAAAAATATGGTCATCATCCATTATCAATATATGTAATTAATCATGGGCCAATTATATTCAATTATGTTGGAAAAAAGAAAAAATTAAAATATTACTGCCTCGGCCCTGGAGAGGAGACTACTCGGTTTAGTTAGCAACCCCCATGTTCCAATTATGCGTTTGCATGTTAGTCTGCAGGTTTTGTTTTTAATACATTAAAGATTTTTAGGAATCTCAATTTAACTAATTGAATTCTTAATTTCCTCCTCCCCTTTTTATACATCTCTCCCGTATTCTTCACACTTCACAACTCTCTAACAATCTGATAATCTCTCTCACTCTAAAACCAAAACAAGTAGCATTTTCAAGAAGAGTAAGAGATGGTTTCCAAAATGGTCCAAGTTTTCTTGATAATGGCTATCTTCGCTACGTCAGCACTTGCTCAAGCCCCGGCCCCTACACCAACCATCACTCCTCCTGCCGCAACACCACCTGCTGTCGCCACCCCTCCTCCCGTAGCTACTCCTCCACCAGTGGCCACCCCACCACCAGCCGCAACCCCAGCCCCAGCAACCACTCCACCACCAGCCGCTACTCCAGCACCCGCCACTACTCCACCATCAGCAGCTCCTTCTCCTTCTGATGTCCCCACCGCATCTCCACCAGCGCCTGAAGGTCCAGCATTGAGCCCTGGCAGTCTTGCTCCAGGACCTTCAGATGAAGCAGCTGCCCCAAGTGCCGCTTTCTCCAACAAAGCTTTCATCGCCGGAACCGCTTTCACCGCTATTATGTACACCGCCATTTTCGTTTGAAATCTTTTTTATTTTCAGAATTCATAATCTTTTTTTTTACCCCATTATTTCAACTTCTTGATGTTATTATGTGAGAATTTAATTTATTTTCGTATTTCGATCGTTCAAATATTTGGATTTGTGTCACGTGTGTCGGATCGTGGAGAGTAATTCTTGGTGGGAACTAATCTGAACGCGTGTAATTTCACTGGAAGGGGTTCGTATGGTCTGTGTAGAGGTGGAATTTGTTTATGTAAGTAAAGATTAATCAAAATAATTTCATTATCCGTTCGTTTTAATCAAATTCTAACGAAAATAAAATGGAGTAGGTGGATAGTGACACTACATGAAACGGCCCACTATAGCTGTGAGATATGACCCAATTAATTCAGCCCATTTACTTTACCACTTCAATAAATGATTAGGCAAAGAAGTCCTATTACGATTTACGCATATCTTGTACGATTAAACCAGTTAATCGGTGGATATAGTATATGGTTCAAAGTTTGTAAACTGACCTAAGCAATGGCGTGGTTGGCGAGAAATATACATGCTCACGTCTCCTTTCGTGTTTCTTCTCTGGTTTTGCAACAATTAATTTACAAATGTCAAGTGGCCCGGATCTACATAGAAGAAGAAATCATTGATTACATATATATGACGAATAAAATCAAGACAAAATATGGAGTTGTTAAATCCGTGACGTCCAGTAATGTGGACGTACCTGGCATATAAAACAAGGTAAATTGAGTTGTTGAGTGAAAGTCAAAGATGTGGTTATATATTGGCGTTTTAAAAGAAAGATAATTATAAGAGAAAATGTTAAAATAATTAGCCCATGCATGTGGTCTTATGGCAAAATAAGCAAAGTACCGTATAATTCGAGCGTTTCTAGCTACTGCGTTTTGAATCATGAGAATGCATATGGTAACTGTTTACCAACCGGTTATAAATAAATAAATCAATATTTATACATTGTGTGCGTTACTCAATATATCGTTATCACGTATCTGCTCTCTCATCTACTCTTTCATTTCATAGATTTATTATAGTTTTCCAAACGATCGGTGATGGGAGAGATAGAGGACGTGGAGATCCCTCTTTTAAGGGTTCAAAATGAAGCGGAGGAAGATGGAAATATAATGGTCGAGACGAAGAAGCTATGGCGTATCGTTGGACCAGCCATATTCACCAGAATCACCACCTACTTGATCCTCACCATTACTCAGGCCTTTGCTGGCCACCTTGGCGAGCTTGAACTCGCTGCTATATCCATCGTCAACAACGTCATCATTGGCTTCAACTTCGGTCTCCTTGTATACACACACACATGTAAAAAAAACTAGTATATTATAATGTTCAAGTTATGACGTTGATTATATTTTTTGTATGCAGCTTGGAATGGCGAGTGCGTTGGAAACGTTGTGTGGTCAAGCGTTTGGAGCTAAGAAACTTGACATGTTAGGAGTTTATTTGCAGCGATCTTGGATTGTTCTCTTCTTATTCTCCATCTCGCTTCTCCCAATGTATTTCTTTGCAACTCCGATTCTTAAGTACTTGGGCCAGCCTGACGACATAGCTGAACTCTCTGGTACCATAGCCGTTTGGGTCATTCCTATCCATTTCGCATTTGCTTTCGTTTTCCCTCTCAACCGATTTCTCCAATGCCAACTCAGAAATAAGGTATATACATGTAACATTTTTTAGCCAGCTTCATTTTTACATTTAGATAGTTATTAGTCACAATCACAATTAATAAGCATTAATTTAGTAGCTTGTTATAGCATTTTCTAGCATGATAGTAACCTCCGAAGTCTAATAACTGAATATGTTCATACTATTATTACCACCAGGTGATTGCAATGTCGTCTGGAGTGGCACTTGTAGTTCACATATTTGTGTGCTGGATTTTTGTGTACGTTCTTGAACTTGGAGTCATTGGGACCATGGCTACTGTTAACGTGGCATGGTGGTTCAATGTACTCATCTTATTTACTTACGCCACTTGCGGTGGTTGTCCACTCACGTGGACCGGTTTCTCCATCGAATCTTTCACGGGACTTTGGGAATTCGCTAAGCTCTCTGTCTCTTCCGGAATCATGATTTGGTATTTGCTAATAACACCACTTTTGTCGCATTTTTTGACGTTTATTTTACAACCGGCACACAACCTTCTTACGGTAGACTTTTATCGAGAGACAGCTTGGAGAACTGGTATTATAAGATTTTAATTCTAATGACTGGAAATCTGAAGGATACAAAAATTGCTGTCGACTCCCTTTCTATATGGTATGTCAAGATTAATCTAATAAATATGAAAAGCTTTCTTATCATATTTAATTGTTTATTAACTGTTTTTTTTTTATAACTACAATGTTCATATGTAGCATGTCGATAAATGGACTGGAGCTGATGATTCCAATTGCTTTCCTAGCCGGGACCGGGTATAACCACTCTCTCATTATCATGACTATCGTGTATAGATAGTTTAATTTTCTGTTTAGCTAGGTCAACTTTATAATATTCACATTATTGCAAAACCTCTTTATGAATAGCGTACGAGTGGCGAATGAACTAGGAGCAGGCAGTGGGAAACGAGCAAGATTTGCAATGATCGTATCAGTGACACAGTCCTTACTCATTGGAATAATATTTTCGGTGCTCGTAGTATTCCTTCATGATCAAATCGGTTGGATCTTCTCTTCAAGTGAAACCGTTATAAAAGCAGTCAATGATCTCTCTATTCTTTTAGCATTTACGATTCTTCTCAACAGTGTCCAGCCGGTTCTTTCCGGTATGCAACAAAAACAAACCAAATTGTTAGCTATTCAAGAATAAACCGGACCAACGGTTCTGAATTGACTTTTTGATTTTTGGTTAGGTGTTGCGATTGGTTCGGGTTGGCAATCATTTGTGGCATATATAAATTTAGGATGCTATTATTTCATCGGACTTCCACTTGGATTTTCCATGGGCTGGATTTTCAAATCTGGTGTTAAGGTAAACCCCTTTTCTTTTTTTTTTTGCTTCTAATATAATAACTTTCAATATTTAAAGGTTAAATCCATATTATAAAATAGGGCATTTGGGCCGGTATGATATTTGGAGGAACTGGGATTCAAACTTTGATATTGATTTTTATTGTTGTGAGATGTGACTGGGAAAAAGAGGTAACTCAGTTTTTTGTTTATTGCTTTTGATTCACATATATGGTTTATTTCATGTATGACTGTTTAATTCAATTGTTTCATATTTGTAGGCACAAAAGGCAAGTGCGCGCGTTAAAAAATGGTCGATATCAGACTCAGAGTCGAGAAACTGAAGATTGTGGAATATAATGTATATATTGAATATACATTCCATAAAGCTAGGCCGAGGTTAGCGAGTCAATATACATTCCATAAAGCTAGGCCGAGGTTAGCGAGTAAAGCACATGCGGCATCATTCCAGTGTCACATGATTAAAACTTAGATTCTTGAAACTGTTAACTGGTAGATGATCTGTATAGTATATAGTTTGGTTCCTTTACGAATAAGGAATTAAGCCACTTTTCATATTTGTTGGTCAAAATTTGTCAATAGTATGTTTTTGTCAATCAAATTTTGTGTGACAACTCATCCCGTGAAAGTTCACAGGCACTGCAGTGTACTGACCCTAATCCTTCACTGTGAGAAGAACTATCTCCACATATCAATTGGTGACAGTTTATCTAGTGGAGAATTGTTAAATAGTGGAGATCTTGGGTTCGAATAATGTCAAGCACATTAATAACTTACCGTTGGATGTGGAAGCAGTTCCTCCCACAATGAGGGATTAGGGTCAGTGTGCTGCAGCACCTGTAACTTGTCCATCAAACCTTAACATATAAAACTTGCCGATGAATGATTTGTTTGTAAATCACACCTATAAAAGAAACTAGTATAATGTGTGTGGTTAGTAGATAATTTGGTGGGTAGACTACGTACAAGCTGTGATGTTTAGTTCTTTCACCCAAATTAAATGTTATTCCCTCCCAAATTAAGAGCAAGCGTATTAATGAACCTCTGGTTGGGGTTCATAACTTCAGTTTTTTTTCCTTATTTTTTGTTTGATTTTTTTTTTAAATTACACTGATCAATAACGAGTGGTCACGTGTGTGGAGTCTACAAAACAGTGATGAATTTCATCCCTCATATGTTTATGGGTGAGAACTGAAAAGAGACAGTGTCATGACCAAAAAATTATTTTAATATTTTTTTTCGAAAATCGTGTGAACTTTTACCATGTAGTTTCAATGTACATGGTCTAAGTCCATTTCATTTACTGTGGCTAATTTATTTTTTGGTGGTTGTTTTGTCGTACATGTGGCCCAAGCACCCCTTTAAAGCTTTCCCAATGGTCTCCGAAACCATGACATCAAGCAGCTTGGGCGTAAATGGTCTCCTATGAAACAAATGAGACTGAGTCGTTGAGCAAAACCAATTATATGGAAGAATATTTTATAGGTTTAAAAATAATAGAGATTATATGAAAAATGTATAAAATATTATATACTGAGTCGGTTGGTATACTACTAAATCAGGATATCGGTAAGCTCTTGCGAGAAGTTCTAACTAAAAATAAAATTGAAAGAGAGAGGCAGTTTTTCTTGCCAATTGCTCAAGTTAAAATATGTGAGAGGCAATTTTAAACGTCACAATTATATCGCTTGTGAAACACTTTCATAAAACTAGGTATCATATGTTCTGATTGACACATTTAAAATAAAAAATATTTAATTACATCAAAGTCTTTCCTTAAAAATATCGAAACTCAATTAAATAACTTCACCGTTAATAATGTTCTAAGATGCGGATAATTAAGTAATCCCTCCACAAAGACTACAAGAATTGACTAAGTAAAGCGATTTTACAACACAACATAAAAATGAAGTGGGATAATAAAAGTATAAGAACTGACTAGTGTATTTATATTCGGATAGACCAAAAAAAATCGAACATAAATGTAGTTCTTTTTTGGTCAAACTAATATAATTGTAGTTATAAATGACGTTCACCCACATATAATTTTTTCTTAAATTAGACTTTTATGAAGACGAAAAATCAAAATAAACAGCAAGAAAATAAATTGTCACTGCGTTTTGTTGTATGTCAACTATAGCAAGACTAGAAAACGAAATGCTACATGAATTTGATCCTCATGTGATACACATGTTTGAATGGTGACTAAAAGTAGTTTAAAAGATAACGCACGTGTTTCCGTACCCCTCTACATTCGCTGACCATCTATATATCAGATAGTACTGCTCTCATTCATTTTTTATCTCCAGAATATTAGGCGATGGAAGAGAGAAACAACGAAGCAGGAGGTCCTCTAGAGAAGGCGATGATTCCTCTGTTAGGGAATGACAATGTCACCGAGGAGAAAGACGTAAAAACAAAGATATGGATGGAGACGAAGAAACTATGGCGTATCGTTGGACCAGCCATATTCACGAGAGTCTCGACCCATTCGACCTTCATCGTCACTCAGGCCTTCGCTGGCCACCTTGGCGAGCTCGAGCTAGCCGCAATCTCCATCGTCAACAACGTCGTCGTCGGCTTCAACTATGGCCTCCTCGTACGTACACACATTTTCTAGCTTATATTTATAGTGTTGGGTTAATATATAAAGAAACTACATATATTTATATGCAGCTTGGAATGGCCACTGCGTTGGAAACGTTGTGTGGTCAAGCGTTTGGAGCGAAGAAGTATGACAAGTTGGGAGTGTATTTGCAGCGATCTTGGATTGTTCTCTTCTTATGCTCCATATTGCTCCTCCCTATGTACTTCTTCACGTCTCCGATTCTTAAGTTCTTCGGCCAGCCTGATGACATCGCTGAGCTCTCTGGCACCGTCGCTGTTTGGGCCATTCCTGCCCATTTCTCATTTGCATTCTTTTTCCCTATCAACCGATTCCTCCAGTCCCAGCTCAAGAATATGGTATGTAACTTAAGATTTGATATGTCATAACGTACGTGTCGGGTTGCTCAAAATACTTACGGAGTGGCGTGAGATTTTGAAAGATATAGACAATTTAATTAAAATTAAATAATTCTTTAAAAATAAGATTTATAGAAGTCTAGGTTTATATATATCATTTCTAAAATTTTGGAAAATATATGCTAATATTTTCAATTGTTATGTCTGAAACGGTCATGTAATCTAAACTACTCTATTTTTGGAGTAGACGGTGCGAGTCTTCATAAAATATTTTTGCAAGAAACAAATTTATGTTCCCACAACCACTTGGTACATTGTGCTTTTATTGTTTACACTCACATAATTTTGGTTGGCTAGCTAAAAACATTAAAATCTGAAATTCAAACTAAACATGTGTGGAAAACTAAAATAAAATATGAAAATTCTAACATTTTTTCATTTCCTACGAAAAGTAGTTGAATTTTCCCTTGAATCTTGATATTACTATTCTTAATTGCTAACTGTGTCTAACGTACTTCACCACTAGGTGACTGCAATCTCGTCCGGTGTGGCACTTGTGGTACACATATCCGTGAGTTGGCTTTTTGTGCACGTTCTTAATCTTGGAGTCATAGGGGCCATTGCTACTGCGAACGTATCATGGTGGCTGAATGTCTTAATCTTATTTACATACACCACTTGTGGCGGTTGTCCGCTCACTTGGACTGGTTTCTCCGTTGAAGCTTTCACCAGACTATGGGAAGTCACTAAGCTCTCTGCATCCTCCGGAATCATGATTTGGTATTCCTAATAAACGCCACTTGTGTCGCATTTCTTCTGATTTTTGCTTCTAAGGATCGGAACACAACTTCTTACGGTAGATTTTTACTTGGACAGCTTGGAGAATTGGTATTATAGGATTTTAATTGTGATGACTGGAAATCTCAAGGACGCAAAAATTGCTGTCGACTCTATGTCTATATGGTACGTCAAATATGTAGTTTGTTTTTTTTCATTTTAGGAAAAAAAAAACAATATAGTGTATCTAAAAAGATTTATAATGTCATATTCCTATCGCATATTACTCTGTACAAATTTTATAGTCAAAAATTTTATCGACAGCATGTTAATAAATGGGTTGGAGACGATGATTCCACTTGCTTTCTTCGCTGGGACCAGGTATAACCAAACTCTTGTTTCGTTTCTATCGACTAGATATTTTTTTGTTAACATCGATTAGATATTTTCATTTTGTTTAGTTTGGTTAATACTATTCATGATATCAAGACCCGATATATCTGGTTATACTAGTTCGTGGATTATTATGTAATCGTTTATAGGACTAACTATACATTATCTTTGTTTCAAATAGATAAATCATTTTATAATTTAGCACAAAAAAAAAAGAAGAGAAATCATTTGTTAAGATTAACTACAAATTATAACATGTTCTTTGTAGTGTACGAGTAGCGAATGAATTAGGAGCAGGAGATGGAAAGAAAGCAAGATTTGCAATGATCATATCAGTGATACAATCGTTAATCATCGGTGTAATCTTATCGGTGCTTGTAGTATTTCTTCATAATCAAATCGGTTGGATCTTCTCTTCAAGTGAAGCTGTTGTAAAAGCAGTGAATAACCTCTCTATTCTTCTAGCCTTTACGATTCTTCTCAACAGTGTCTATCCGGTTCTTTCTGGTATGTCACCCAAAATTATTTTAGAAAATGAATTATAAAATAAATTGGGTCAACGGTTATATGTTGACTTTTGACTTTTGACTTTTTATTAGGTGCTGCTGTTGGTTCGGGTTGGCAGACAGTCGTGGCATACATTAATCTAGGATGCTACTATGTCATTGGACTTCCACTTGGATTTGTCATGGGTTGGATTTTCAAAACTGGTGTTAAGGTAAATGCAAGTTTTGCTTTGTTTATTTCAAGGTTAATCTTGATCCTTTCTCTCCATACAGTTTTTATAAAATTGCATATTGCTATATGTTAATAGGGTATTTGGGCCGGTATGATATTTGGAGGAACCGCTATTCAAACGTTTATATTGATTTTTATTACTATGAGATGTGACTGGGAGAAAGAGGTAACTCAGTTCTCTTGTTTAATGCTATTCCACTTCATGTGTCTCTTTTTAAAACATTTGTTTGGTCGTTTCTTTCAAATTTGTAGGCACAAAAAGCAACTATGCGCGTTAAGAATTGGCAGGTCTCTACTGCAAAAATATGAAAATAATATCTTAAATGATCCATAATTGTATCTATGGAGCATCTATCTTAAAATAAGTGCTTAAACCTAATACATATTGTATTCTGCTAATCACATAATCTATATAATAATAGTTCACTTTTGAGGCTCCTCAGCGCGACACGTCAGCAGTTTTGTGGGTCCCATAAGTATTTTTTAAACACCCATAGTCTTGATAAAATGATCACAAACAATGAAATATACTTTAGCCAAGTGGTACAAGGTGTCTAATTAAGTATGCAAGATCGTGGGTTCAAACCACGCAGCTATCATATATTTTTGATTTTTTATTTGGGTTATTATCATATGGGTTTTTTGTTTATAAGGTTTTTATGTTTTTTGTTGGCTTATTGTTTTAAAGATCAAAATAGTTGGATAAACCCTAAATCTTAACAAATTCAAACCCAAAATAATTAAAAATGAATGCAAAACGAACAATAAAAAAAAAGCAAGTCTCACGCGGTTGCCTACGTGGATGGCTTAAAGAGCCTTAAAACTATTGTATTATAATATAGTTCAACCCAAAAATAATAAAAAATAAATCCAAAAACGAACAGACCAAAAAAAAAAAAAAATGAATTCCACGCGGCTGCCTACGTGGATGGCTTAATATAGATTAAGAGCTCAAAAAGTTAAATCATTGCACATATTTCCTAATATATATTTTCAAAAAAATTGTATGTGAGATAAAATAAAAAAACAACAAAAATTAATTATTATCGTTATTTATTAAATGAATATGTAATTTCTTTTACATTTTAATAACTACTATAATTTCATTGAAAATATTCCTCACCACCGATCCCAGACTCCGGCGAATGGATTACCACAGTCGATGACGCCGTAGATAAAAATGCCACATCATTTATGAATAAAACTCAAACTTACAAAAAACCATATATAAAAACCTATCTAATGAAACTTAAACAACGAATATTAACTTAATTAAGGTTATTTTCAAATTGATAAATCGTTTAATACAAATATAAATACTATAAATATAGAATTATATCAAGTTTTTATCTACGATATAAAAACTATTTACAGCAAAAAAAAAACACCTACTTTTACACACTAAAAACAATATTATAGCCTAACTATTCCTATAAACCTTACTTCGCATATAAATAACATTTAACATATTCCTACTATATTTTCAAAAAATTTGTATGTGAAATAAAATAAAATAAACAACAAAATTTAAGTATTTTTCGTTATTTATTAAATGAATATGTAATTTATCTTACATTTTAATAACTACTATAATTTCTTTGAAAACATTTCTCACCACTGACTCCAGACTTCGGCGAATGGATTCCCGTAATCGATGACTCCATAGATAAAAATGCCACATCATTTATGAACAAAACCCAAACTTACAAAAAAACATATATAAAAACCTATCTAATGAAACTTAAACAACAGATATTAACTTAATTAATGTTATTTTCAAATTGATAAATCTTTTAATACAAATATAAATACTATATATATAGAATTATACCAAGTTTTGACATACGATATAAAAACTATTTACTGCAAAAAAAAAAATAGACACCTACTTTTACACACTAAAAACTATATTATAGCCTAACTATTCCTATAAACCTTACTTCGCATATAAATAATATTTAACACATTAGATATACAATATTTTCACTTTACATTCTTACTACATTCTTTCTATTTCATTATTATTTGGTGTCATTAGAAGAATCCACTAAACCAACAATCAAAAAAAATATACGCAAACATAATGATCCCGACCCCGCGCTTGCGCGGAGATTATGCAACTAGTTAAACAAATGATTGAAAATTTGAAATGGCCGAAACTGGCGTAATGACCGATTTGTTTTCCTTATGAATGTTATATAGAAGAATAGGAAATTAAGCACACGTTCACTTTCATTAATTTCTTAAGTTCTTTACATAATGAATCACTTATACACACTTGTCTTTGTGAGAAAGAATTAAGCATTATTAAAAATTGACAGATCCCATTCCAAGACAAACCAAATTCGACCGTTGAAGTTGGTAGTGTTGTACGTAGTGAGATGCCAAACCTGCCAGTGTAAACTGGATAATTTCTCACCTAACCGAGCCAATCAACTGTCAAACCTTACGTAAGTAGGCTTAACTGGACCGGTTCACTCGTCAAAGCACTGGAGTCAAACTTTACCCACTCAGAATCCCATTCTAACAACTCGTTCGTTGTTGTCTCAGAGTCCTCGAATGTTACCCATTCCGTCTCAACCGAACTTGCTGGTTCAACCATCTCCTCATCGTCCTTAACCGTGGTCTGAACTAAACCAGGTAATTCAACCATCTTCTTATTGTCATGTAATAATATATCTGCCTTCAATATTTCAACCAAACACCAGAAATCTTCTGCCAAACGTCTGTAACGCCAAAAAAACCCGCTCAAACTCTCCTTGCATTCATCAAGTCTCATCACAACCAACCTCAGATCGTGCATACTTGAATCACCAACATGTTGGATACCCGGTTTGATCAATCTTTCACTCAAGACTTGAAGACGTACCATAACCAATATTACAGCCGTAAAGTAGTCCTGAATCACGAGCTCTCTGATCTCGTCCACGATCTTGTTTTGGAACAAAGGTGGGGTATCCGGTCTAGTACATATATGCTGGAAGAAAGTCACAAGAGATTCAGTCTGTCTCATTATGTATCCGGTTTGGTAAGATGAAACACAATCTTTTTCTTTAGATTTCTCTTTTGAGCTCTCCGTTAAATTTGGAAAAGACCCTAATACCTTAGAAATCCACGAGAGACTATCCAAATATAGTCCATACCTGAATAAAACCAAACACACACAAATAAAAACAATTGTTACTCGTTAGTATTATAATATCCAATGTCGGTAACTGATATGAACACGTCCAAGTTATTAGATATATGTCATAATCAGATCAAAATAACAAAAATGGAAAAAGGGAAAGAAAAGTAATTACCATATAACCCATCGTGATAATTCTATTGTGAGATCAGAAGTTGTGTCTGAAAAATCATTCAGTTTTAGACTGTTCCTACCACGATCTAATCCTTCAAACTTATCTTTCGATGATTTGATAAGTTCGTGGAAGACTATGAGAGACTTGATGGCCACAAAAGCATTCTTTGTAACGTGTAACCTCCACATAACCGCAGAGAAAGCTGCCGGGCCATAAGGACTGTTGGAGTAAGAGACAACGTCGGAGATATAGTTGCTATCGGGTGGCTTATGAGAAGTATGAGTTGTTGACTTCAAAAGGGCTAAGTGGATATATGTGACCGCTCGCGAACTGAAACTATGGAACAATCTAGCTTTGCATATTGAAGCTTTGTCTTTGACTTTTCCGATTATGAGAGATTTGAGTTTTAACATTCTTTTTAGCAGAAGAAAAGAAGAGAAGAAAGAAACTGGGCTGCTTGATGATTAATTATGCGAGTTTGGTTCTTATATGCGTCATCAAGGTTTTATTCTATTTTCTTATTTCGTAGAGTTTCCTTTTCAATTAAGGGAAATATTGTTAATATGTATGTGGGGTTTAATTTTGTAAAGATTTAAATGTGTCTAATTAATAAGTCTCCGTTTCCATTACGTGTTTTGTGGATATCTTCTATTTCCAAAGTCACCAGTTCATATTTTATTGATATTTGTCTATTAGACATTGACAAGTTCATAGTCAACATCACATAATAGACCATTTATATAATATTTGTTATTTTAATACATTTTGTGGATTGTGTTGTGAATGAATAATTTCCTAGTATTTTAATCTTTGAAAACGAGATAGTTTAAAAAATATCATAATGTGTAATCAATACAAAAGCTACAGAAAAACACATAAGAATTTTCAATCGAGGAGCAAGTCCGTCCAAGATGTATAAAAAGAACAAAAAACAAACATGGGATATGTCGGCATGAGGTTCGATTGTAACAGCATCTGGTAGTCACCAGCCAATTCCATTGACGTGTAAAAAAAAATCTCAATTTGATTGTTAAAATATCCAAAGATAACATTTAGTTATATATATAACAAAACAAGATGTTGGGGACCAAACTGGTCAAGTCAAGGTTACATCCATAAGAATAATTCATGTAAGGCGCGGTCGCATGGACAATGCAGCCCCGATATGCACAATCATTAATCGAGTTATATATGTGGCATTTGGCATTGACCATAGTTTGGGACATACAAGCTGGATGATCGGTAGATCATATAATAGACGTGGTTTATCTATATGTACACATCGACCCAACATTTGGTAGTACTATACTAATCTCAACCTTTGTGTTTAATGATCAAATCATCAATGGCTCTAGAAAAGACAATCTATATATCCAAACTGAAACGAGGAACGACCATAATTTTGGATACATGTCCATCATACCCATATACTACAGCATGCCATGTATCTAATTTTCAACATTGAAAATTGGTTGTACCCGCTAGTATGAATGATCCACAATATAACATCCCCCATCAACAAGAAAAGAATGAATGACTACATAGCATCGTATCTAAAAGATTCGAGATTTCACAAAACACATTGACACATGAAAAAACGATTTTTTATTTTGTTTTAAATCATAGGATATAAATTTCTAAAGGAAAAGTAAGAAATAACCCAAAAGGCCCGAAAATGTGCCTAATCTTAAATGGGCCTATGCCTCATTTTACACGGCCCAGTCGTCTTATAATTGAAAAAGAGGAACGAAAAGGAAGCTTAATCCCGCGAAACATACACAAGTCGTTCTGATTGGTTAAACACCAAACGACGCGGATAACATAAAGAAACAAAATCTCAACCGTTGATAAACGAAACAATCTAACGGATGATAGCAAAAACATCATCTCTCCCTCTCAATATAAAAAACACATCACATCCTCACCTTCTCCACATCAATCACAAAAGCAAATCACAAAAAGAGTTAAATCCCTTCTTCAATGGCTCGCACCAAGCAAACCGCAAGAAAATCCACCGGAGGCAAAGCCCCAAGGAAGCAGCTAGCCACAAAAGCCGCCAGAAAATCAGCTCCGGCCACCGGAGGAGTCAAGAAGCCACACAGATTCCGTCCCGGAACAGTTGCCTTGAGAGAGATCAGGAAGTACCAGAAGAGCACCGAGCTTCTGATCCGCAAGCTTCCTTTCCAGCGTCTCGTCCGAGAGATAGCTCAGGATTTCAAGACGGATCTGAGGTTCCAGAGCAGCGCCGTCGCGGCGCTTCAGGAGGCGGCGGAGGCTTACCTCGTCGGGTTGTTCGAAGACACGAATCTGTGTGCGATTCACGCGAAGAGGGTTACGATCATGCCAAAGGATATCCAGCTGGCAAGGAGGATCCGTGGTGAGAGAGCTTAAGTGGAGATGAGGAAGATCAATGGTTTAATTGCTTTGGTTGTTTAATCAGTTTGTGTAAATCGTTTTAAAAAAATGTTTGTGTGTTTTAGTGTTTTTTCAAGTCTTTTTGATTTGATGAATGTTTACACATGAATATCAATCTAGTGGTTATTTCTCCTCTATAATTATGTCTTTTGGTTTAGTATACAAATAAACAATCCGAGAAAAGTAGAAACAAAACATCCAAGAAAAATAAAATACAAGCATTATACATCTTCCCAATATCGATTCGTCCTGATGTTGTTAACCACTGTAGTGTTTTACTTACGAGGATCTGGAAAAATAAAATGTTCAATAACCGGAAAATTTTTGAGATATTTTTCCCTTAGCGTAGACATGTCTTCTCTTAATTAGATACGTAGTCAATCAGAAACGTAAGTTCAATTTGTGAAAATCATATATCAGTCGAGTGTACATATATTTTTGAATTTTTAGCGTTAAGAGGAGGAAACTTCTCTTTCTGAAATAATTTCGTTCAGTTTGAAAATAATTGGAAGGGTTTTATGGCGAAAATTTACAAGTGGCGCTAGTTATTATTTTTTTAAAAAAAAAATTTGGAAGTAGCGAGAAAGGCCACGTGGTCTAGAAATGATTTTTAATTGGTTGATAGTACATCACAAGGATCCGTTTATGAACTATAGAAGTGTTTTCATTGGTTGATAAAAGAATAACGCGGATTGATGATATATTGAACTTCTCAGCCGTCGATTAACTTTTAATCCAACGGACAATATTTTCAGTAAACTCCCTCCAAGTTATTTTTTTTTTCGAACTCCCCGCCAATTTATCTTCTTATAAAATTACCACATCTCCAACCTCTGTTCTTCACTACTTAACTTTCACATTTAAAATCTCATTCTCAAGTTACTATTTGATCTCAAATATGGCTCGTACCAAGCAAACCGCTAGGAAATCAACCGGAGGCAAGGCCCCAAGGAAGCAACTCGCGACGAAAGCCGCCAGAAAATCGGCTCCAGCCACCGGAGGAGTCAAGAAGCCACACAGATTCCGTCCCGGAACCGTTGCGTTGAGAGAGATCAGGAAGTACCAGAAAAGCACCGAGCTTCTGATCCGTAAGCTCCCGTTCCAGCGTCTCGTCCGTGAGATCGCTCAGGATTTCAAAACCGATCTAAGGTTTCAGAGCAGCGCCGTCGCTGCTCTTCAAGAAGCAGCCGAAGCTTACCTTGTTGGGTTGTTTGAAGATACGAATCTATGCGCGATTCACGCCAAGAGAGTCACTATCATGCCTAAGGATATTCAACTCGCTAGGAGAATCCGTGGTGAAAGAGCTTGAAAGACTCTTTATGCTTCATAGCGATTATAGTTCGCTCTGTTTTAATTATTGTCTCGTTTTCAATTTTAGTTTTTGCGTAGGTTTAGATAAGTCTTGAATGTGTTCGACGAAATGTCTCAGTGAGAATTGTTTTTGTTTAATAAAAAGCCTATTTGCCCATTTTTCTTTATATTAAACCATAATATAATCTTCCAAACATCGAAACAGTCCGTTTTGTTTTAGTTCTAGATCTATCAATACATAATATAATGTTGAATACTTTAATTCAATCAGTCGATCTGTTTCTGGGATTTAAATGTGTGTTTTAGTTACTTGGTTCCTATCATCCCTACTGCTGTAGAGCTTGGCTCGTTGGTTTGTGTAGGTTTTTATTAGAGTGTAAACCGGTTTAGTCTTGTTGGTTTAGTAACCCGCACAATTGTTATGTTAACCGGATTTCAACTTTCTATAAATGTAAACGGTTTCATTTCATGAGCTTGAATAAGAAAGACTGACTTTGTATTGTTATGTTATCCAACAAGACTAAATTGGTTTACACTCTATTAGTTTTGTTAAGATAGTCTTGAAGGTGTTCGACAAAATGTCCCAGTGAGAATTTTCTTGTTTAATATAAAGCTTATTCCCCCATTTCTATTAATATATGCGTTTCTCAATCATATACTATACTCACACAAACATTGAAACAATACACTTATATCAGATGTATTTGTGTATAAGCACACACACACACTAGATAGTAGTATAACTTAAGCTTAGTTGTAGTGTAACCAGACGACTACATAAGGCATTCAGCTAGGGAGAACCGAGTCTTGGTTTCTTGTTCTTCTTGATGATGCAAAAAAGTTGGTACTGAAACTCCTGTAGAACTGTCTTCTACTTCTACCAGCAACATCATCACTCCCCTCAGCTTTAACCAACGAGCTTCCTCCAATAGAAAACGATCTCCTCACAGTCTCCAACCTTCTCCTCCCACAATGTCCAGCTAAATCGCTTTGTGACCTCGGAAGAAGAACATTATTAACGTTTCTTGATCCCGAACTCTCTTCTTCTTCTCCATTGCTTGTTCCAGACACTGTTTGATGATTCGTCTCTGTTTTTTTATTACGTATCTTAGTGGAGAAAACAGGAGCACGGCACAAAGGACAGTTCTTGTGAGAGAGCAGCCACATGTCTATGCAACTGACGTGGAAGGCGTGGCTACACTTTGGTAACAGTCTAAGCGCTTCGTCTTCCTCGAATTCGCTTAAGCAGACGGAGCAGTCAGTGCCGTCGATGATCCCTTCTCCGTTTTTGAATTTAACGACTGTGATGGAGTCTATTGCTGAACGGTCTAGACCAGCGGTTGTTACACGCCAGAAGTGGTGGTATCTGGAGAGATCTGCATGTCCTCTCTCTTGGTTTTGGTCTTCTCTTCTGTTGGTGCTGACGTGAGGCGCTGGTGAGGAGGGTGGGGTCCGACGTGACCACATGATGTAGAGGTAGAGGAAGATGGTGAAGAAGAGGAAGAGTAAGGCAGAGCTTATTATGAAGATTGGGGTTGAGAAGAGGACAGAGAGATCTCCCTGCAGTGATGTAGGCGGCGGTGGAGGTGGTGGTGGTGGCGGTGGGTATATCTGCGGCCAAGTGATGAAGTACCCAAAGGTGTAGCTTTGCCCCGGTTGATATGGATACAGCATCTTCCTGTTACTTGACGCCATTTTCAGAGAAACAGAGCAAAAAAACAGGGGAATTTACTTTTTTCAGAAACAACTAGTAGTTAAAACAGAGCAAGAACAGAGAGAAAAATGGGTTTCGGACACAATACTAAGTTTCTGCTCTTAAAGAAAGCAAGGGGAAATAGGGTAGTAGGTGAAATCTAAAACCCATAAAGACGTTAGAATCTACATAGAGTCAAGTCATGACCCAAAAAATTCTAAGAAGGTGTTGAGATATAAGGGGACAGAGATCACGATCTAGGGGACTCTATAAGAAGGGTAGAGGATCAGTCTTTTGGTAGGGTTTAGGAAATTTCGTGGAAGTTGATACTAACGCCATTAAAGGGATGTCTCTCTACGTTGGAAATTAGTTTCCTTTCAACTTTGTCTTGACGTCGACTTTAGTAAACATTAACGCGTATTCTGTGATGTATATAAAACAAGTCAAGTTTTAAGTCAGTTTGGAAAATTATGGGACTTTCACACCATTTTAGTGTAAATTTTGTTTAAAATTATAGTGTTACATTAAAATGGTTTAACTTTTAGTATTGGACTAGGATAAGACCTGCGCGGTGAATATATGTAATTAAAATATAAAATTTTAATATTCACAAATTTAAAATTTACATATGATTTTTTTTGTATGTATTTGAAATTTTAGAATTTTGGAATTTTTATATAATTATCTATACGTATGATCAAAAACAATTTTAATTAGAAATGTAAATCAAATCTTAGAATTTAATGGATCTGATTTCATATATCTTTTTACTTTTCAGTGTTCGAGTGATGGAAAATAAATGGAGTGTCACTGGGCTTGATTGGTAGAGTATAG